TAATCAGTTGAGATGGCTGGGACATGTGTTGCGCATGCCAGACCACCGACTGCCACGACGTGCGATGTTTTGTAGTGTAGGAATCGATTGGAAGAAAGCTAGGGGCGGCCAGACCAAAATATGGCACAAATCCATAAAGTCACTGACAAGTGGACTGAGCCATGTCGGTAGATGTAGACTACCTGGTTGGGGACCGCGAGACGATAGCAACCGATGGTTAGAGACCTTGAATGACATGGCTAAAAATCGTTTGCAACGGTGCAGGTGCATCCACTCTCTGTGTTCTCCCGAACTCTAATCTTCTGAATTCTCCATGTCCTTTATTTTATTTCCAAATATATTCCACTGGACTATACTCCTTAAATAACATCATCAAACCTTAACGTTTCCTGTCACTACTTATACTTTCACTACTCTGCCACTACGGGATTTGAGACGATAATTGAATCTCTGTGGTAATGTGGTATGGCAACTCGAACTGATGTACGTACGTACGAAGTTCCACGTTGTTTCTGACTGACTGACTGACTGATAGTGTCGAGGAAGGTTCCATAAGAATCTCCTATCCACAATGTCGAATGCATTTTCATACTAAAGGAAGTTGATGTATAGTGACGAGTTCCATTCATTTGATTGTTCAACGATGATCCATAATATCGTGATTTGTTCTGTGCACTACCGATGTTTACGGAGTCTGACCTGTTGATCTTGAAGCTGGATTTCTACTGAGTCTTTCAACTGGTTAAGTTAATATCTCAAAGGTAGGGTGTATTGAACCTTTATAATGCTTTTTGTCAAGTTGCTCAATGCTTCTTTAACTTCAGTTTCATCTTGGCCACAACCAGGTGGTGATCTGATTCAATGTCAGCTCCTCTCTTGATTCTCTCGTCTTCAACTGACCTTTCCAATCTTTTAGTGATGCAAATATGATCGGTATGGTTCTGTGTAGTGTGGTCAGATGAGACCATTGTAGCTTTGTGCAAGAATTTGTGGGGGAGTATTGTGCCATCTATAACCAATTTGTTGAATGCACATGAATTTGCGAATCTGTCACCATTCTCGTTCGTTTCTTTCAATCAGTCCATGTCGTCCCATGATATCTTCATATCGGTGTTGTCCATTCCGAGCTACAGGCGTAGTTTTTTTACTATTTACTTCCATATAAATAACATCATTACAATTTATATTTAGCTGTTAATCTGATAAATTAACGCCAATTACTTGAAATGTTTCCTTAACTATTAGTGTAAATTGGGTTAAGAATGTCGGAATTTTTTTTTCTGAATAGAAATGCTGTACTGAGTCGTATCTAGGATCCGTAAAAATACCATAATGACTTTGTATCTAATATGAATGACATTTTCATGTGAGCATTACATTTCGTTGTCTTCAAGGTTCTTCGGAATTGTCTATTGAGGTATGCCATTCTCTTAATATTTTCTTCATTAGTATATGCATTTTTCCGTTATTATTACTTAACACTAACGATCCATATTTACTGCCTGTTTATTACCAATAGATTCCTATTTTGAGTCATCCGAAAATATATCCATCAGATCTATGATTCATATCTTATAGAATTTCTTAAAAATCTTGTTTCTACGCATATGGATTCTATCACTAGTCTTTTAAACATGTGATTCTTATAGGTTTGTACGCGGATAAAGACAATGCAAATAATTTTTATATTGGGGTAGATTATTACGTTCTAAAGGGTATCTTTCTCAGATCGAAATTATCAATAAAAATAATTTACACTTCAATGACTACGTATTCAGTATTTTAATGCCTTTATATTCTATGGATACAAATAATTGTGTCGAAAGTAGTTTGTTAACGTTTGATGAAAAGAGGCTGAACAATTTCATGTCAGTTCACAGTTCATTTTCCATCACTGAAAATCAGAATAACCATTTTCAGGTTTTAAATTGTACAGTTTACTCTTAAAATATAAACGTAGATTGATATGTTGGTAATTTCAAATTTTCGACAGATCATACTATTTCATAAACATAGTTTCAAAACGGTGTTTGCTAGTAATAAGATCAAAATGAGAGTGAACATAATAAAAATCCTTTTTAGTACTGGATATATTCTAAACTAAAACTTTTTGAGAAAAGCCACTTCAGCATGAGTAAATATATACATCATACAACCAGATACCTTGGCAAATTTGGGCAGAGTAAGAAGAACAAGGTTTGCATAATAAAATGAATTCATTCCATTCAATGGTTTCTCATCAGCTTCATACGACGTAAAATTACAATTATTAATATGAATATAATTATTAACAAATGTTTAGCATACTTTGGTTTGTGAAGTTTTCACATGTTAGAAACGTAATCAAAAACATAGTAATCAGAAGAATAGGGATACAAAGTATATGAAGAAACATAGTTAAGATCGATGTGTATTTATTTGTTAGGAAGCAATAATTCAGCGATCATGTAAATGTAATGAAATTAATAAGTATGGTAAAAATTCCCATTTTGACATTTAGTAAAAAGAGTGAACAGAGTGGAGAAATATCTTTTTAATTAGTTTTTCATCATGGCTGTCTATATAATATTGAGTAATTAGGAGAAAGTGGATTATGATAATCGAAGTAATTATTCGGAAAATCGAAGAGTTACTACACTGCATAAAATATAAAAATGAACTAACAGAATATTTTGATGAAAGGTCAGTAATGTAGTAGTTATGCAAGAATCAAGAAACGAATGTTGAGAATATGCAAAATACAAAGTGGGAAAAACTTGAGAATGGTTTAAATATTTTGAAGGAAAGAGCATCAAAATTCAGCTACAACCTCACTCTTATGGCCAAGGTAGCGAGAGTGGTTGTACAAACTTCTTTTGAATGCAAATGTTTGGTTTGTGAACATGGATTTCGGTGGCTTCAGCAATGTGTAAAAGACTAAATCCTAATCAATGTGGTAAATTTGATGGAATATAGTGAATAACCTTAATTTCTCCATTCAAGTCAGCTTGATGACCCGTGTCCACCAAGTGAGCGACAATAGAACTCTTGATCACCCTTGCCTGTCCTTTGCCCAACCAAAATGGATGGTGTTCTGCTATGCAATGGCAAACTTGCTGAATTTTACGCCCTATATAACCGGCTCCTCAGGAGCAGTTGATTTGGCAAATACACATAGATATGGCGAACTCGAGTAGTCTGTCTTTATTGGTTTTTCTTATCGGGCGGTTCTAGAAAACCGCATTCAATTTGGATGCATTGTCGAGTTGGAAGTGGACGTTCTTCGTGCATCATCTGAAAAGCTATATAACCCTTATATCACTATCACTTATTAATTTAAAGGAGGCATTAAAGGATCTTCCATTTGCCGCTAGATACTATGACCGGTAGGTAATAGGATAAATGCCCTAAACACGACTAGATAACAGACTGGGTGATCGATTGATATACTAGATATATAGACGGCTATATGAATCACTTGATACACTGGTACTCAAAATCTGAACAAATGATAGAAAAGATTAAACTAGGCAGGTGATTGACATGAATTACCAGCAGCTACATATGATAAAATCCGAACAGAAATCTCGAGTGAGAGTTATACGTAAAATACTTTCTTTTATTACTATGATTGGATATGTCTATCTTTACTTACTGGTCTATCACGGTTCATCATCACACGATACATCACTTTTAAGAATTAACTGGTCATAACATAGCCTATTCCACAGAATCTGTCGATGAAATGTCTTTCATTTGGCTTGTAAACCTTTGATTTCACTGGATTAAGATTACTCAACAGAGTACTAATATTATGGAACTAATCTTGTAGCTTCAAGGTCATCCCTTGAAATATTGGTTGTTTTGGTCATTGACAGGTTGTGAATGAAAAACATAATACTGATTTGTTCTAGATCGTAAGTCACTTCCGCTAGGTGTAACACATCATTAAATTGTTCATAGTGTTTAGCTTAGAAAATCTAGCTGTCAGAAATAGCCTAAAGCTGCTGTGCCATAAAAACAATTGCATGAGAATTAATTAGCCATACCATAAATTATGGAAGTTGTTTATAAACTGGAAATTTCACATATCTAGGAGTAGACTTAAAATTCCCTTCAACCTTTCAATCTGATATCTCAAATGTGTAAAGCTTAAATTGTACTTTTACATTAGAATGTACAAGTAATGCCATAAAGAATTATGTTAGTACATGTGCACTTAGTCTTTTCAGTGACTTATTTTCTATTGATATGTAGAACCAAATCTCATAAATGTCCTCACATTGTAAATGTGAACAAATTTTCATTTAATAAATCGATATATAATAGGTTTTTAATAATATAAGGAACTGTAAACTGCAAATTATTAAAACAATGAATCACTTTATCTAATATATTCCGAATTTCTTTACCTTATGTAAAAAGATTTGGTCCTTATGTTTCGAACAACATTCAAATTATTGAATTTAGCTTGGTATCTCACTAATTAAAACTAGAACAAACAGAACATATCTATAACGATTTATTTTAAAGTTTCTCACTTAAGTCATAGTAAAGGAAACATGTGATTAAGGTATTATTATTCCATCAAAACAGGGGTTGTGGAGATTATTAAGTTTTTGATTGAGATCATGAACCGATTGATCGAATCCCGCGAGCGGGATCGTGGATGCACACTGCTGAGAAGTCCCACAATAGGACGAAACGGCCGTCCAGTGCTTCCAGGTTTCCAGCGGTGGTCTAACATCATTCGGTTCATGATCTCAATCAAAAATTATTATTCCATGTTTGTCAGTTATAATCAGATGAAAATTAAACATGCAAGATATATTAAAGAGGTGAATGTATTTACTAAACTATAGCCTAAAATCAATTTAATATATAAGACGAGCTCACAGAAAATAAACTGCATCGTAATAAAAAAAGATAAAGTTTTCCTGCTACCCGATAATGTATCGTAACTATCCACTAGTTAACTAATACAAATATAACCAGAGACGAACAATCAAAAAGGTATAAAATTATTCAGCTTAAATAATAGTTCATTTATTGATTAAATCATAAATACCAATGATGACAAATTTAACTGAAACAAACAGCATCCATATAATATCCAATTTCTTGATCACTTTCTCCAAACTCTTTTAATTGAATATCAACTAATGGAAGTAAGTTTGGTTTACGGGTGACAAATTCAAATACACTACTGGCTTTTTGTTTACTTCTTTCCTAAAAATAAACAATATTGAATAGAATAATTGTACTAATAAAATAAGTGAAATATGTTAACAACTAAAAATTACTAATCTGTATATTTCTTAGTTTTTTGTTAACTTTAAATTTATTACAGAATTACTATAAATAGCTTAGAAAGATAATAATTTTCATGTATAGTCAAAGCTATCAATTACTTATTTCTGTTAATGTTATTTAAATCACAGTAAAGGTTTCTAAATTGAACTATTTTGTTTATAGAACATTACATTATTAAAATCATCCATATGACCTGTAAATCTTGTGAAACATATTTCTTTTTACAAACTTCTTTGGTCCTATACTTTTATTATTTTTCGATTATTAATAATCGTTGTAGCAGATGATTAATTAGTCTACAGTATAATAGTTATTGATGATTTTCAAATTTGATTGTTTAGATTAGTGAATAAGATTAAATGAGCACTGCTTGAAACTGTGATAAAGTTATGTTTCCAGTATTAGATCATACTTCATATAAATCATATATATTTTTTCCAATTACAGTTTTAGTTTTTAGTTTAAGTAACAAAAATATTCAGGGGAGGTATTTTGTGAATATTATAGTAATTTAATAGTTGAATTAATGGATCAATTGAAGTTAGACCGCCATGAAAAACCTGAAAACAGCCGTTCAGTACTTCTAGATTATCCATAGTGGTCTAGCTTCAATTGAATTCAACTATTCAACAAAAATATTAACATCTGGAATAATCTTTAAGAGGTTGATAGTACAAATAAGTATTGTTTGGTGACAGTAATTTATTTCCTGCAATCAAATTTCATTACCGTCAAGAACTGATTGTTAAAAGATGCATGTATCTTATGTAGGTATTCATTCATTTTGATAATTAAAATTAACTAATTAATACATAGGGGGGAGGCTTTTCTGACCTATTAATATAAGTTTTTCAACAAGTAATTCATAAAGATTCTTCTTTAAAAAGATAAGTAATCAAGAACCACATAAAAAATTAATGTAATGAATTAATAAAAATAACATTAATAAAATGTATCTGGCATTACTAATAGTTATTAATTACCATGCATTCATCTTTAACCTTGATATCTAACATAATACCACCACCAATAGTACGTGTACGTCTATCTTCATAAGTATCAATCACATTTTCATCAAATAATTTAACGATTACTGCATTCTTATAATTTTGATTTTTCACATCAAAATATACTGGTGTATTACGACATGTAAAAGTGATAACTTGTTCAGCTTTTGAATGTAATAGTTGTAGATAACGAATTTGATTTATTGGTGCATAATATAACTTAATAGAAATAAAATGAAATAAAATTAATACTTATTAATGAATATAAATAAATTTAGATAATGTAATAAGAAGATATAGATTATCATAACTATATCATATGTTGAAACAATGTATTTCAAATAAACTGATCACACATCTACTTATATGTAAAATAAATAACATTAATTCAAGTGATCATTGATAAAGTTAGTAGAAGTAATGATTTTAGATGATTATGCGAATAATATCTACAGTTGAAAGTGATTTAGAATATAGTGAGATATAAACAACATTTAAGTGATTAATTTTTTACCTAATAGATCAAACTAAAAATAAATTTCGCTTGTGTTTCATCAAAAAAGAAAATTTTTTATAAAGGATTTGATCTTTATTTAATCTTCTTTGTGAAGTATTCTGTTGACAGTTTTCAATGTCTTTGGTCAAGGAGTACGGAAATCTATTGTCTCATTTTTGTCATAGGGATTCGGTAATACACACAATCATAAAAATTGTATCTTTGAATTGAAAACTTACGTCATTATTTTCAAGTATTAACGGTTAGTATAGTTAAATTATTAAAAAAATGTTCTTTTCAACAATGTCATCTTAAGCTGCACAGTTGTATTACAGTTCATTTACATGTGGCTGTCTATAATAAAATTTGGGTATTGTATCATCAAATAAAACTATCATGAATAGTAAAAGGTTTCTAAGTGTTAAATATAGTAGTTTATAAAATAAAAATATGTTGCATCATTTAACAAAATAGAAATTACCAAAGGTTTCGATAACTACTTTCAGGTTGTTTAATAATCTTTGAAGTAATAGGAAATAATAATTCATAAAAGTGGTTTAAAAAATAATCGTTTACTTTACAAAAAAGAGAAGAAGAAGGTGAAGAGTAAGATAATGGTTGGCACCAACGTTTTGAAAAACTAGGATGGGTACCAAAGTTGGGGTGGAATAAATTATTGAATATAACTCTTCTAAACACAGGGGTCATGTTCGGATTAATAAATTGTTATATCTTCAGCGGTACACAAACATCTAATTCGAACCTTATTCGAACCAGTTCTTTTGACTTTATAGAAAATTTCGGACAACGATTCCATTGGTGGCACGTGATCAGAGTTGATGGCATTTTACGGAGTGAGCTGTTAATGAACTTGCGATTCTCTTTAGATAGCCATTCTGGGTAGTACTCGGATGTTCGTTTGTCAAGAGCGCGCTTTGTGCGGTTAATATAACCTGCTACACAAAAGCAAGTAGATTGAAAAATGAACAATGACGTGGTCCAAAGTTGGAGTTTATTGTTGTCACTTACCCTAGTGAAATACTTACTGGGTAAGACAGTTCGGACCTCTGCTTATTAAAGGGTCATTCCGAAAGATATTGAAAGTCTGTTCTTCAATACCTCTTTTGCCGTTTCTTTTTGAATTGAATGTTTAGGAATGAAACTTTGTTCGGAACTGCTCTTTCAACCGGACCTTTCGGTTTTATGTTTCTGTCAATGAACCTAGGCTGGAAACTTTTCCCCATAAGTATTAGTCGGAACGAATTTAACTCATCACCTGTCGTGTCGTCCGTGCTTGTTCGTCTGTCCCTTGAGGTTGGATAATGGGTAGTGTCTTTCTTTCTTTTCAGCTCTACCCAACTATGGAATTTCTTGTGTTAATTATTGAAGATGGGCTGTATGTATATTCGCTGTTTTAACAAATCATTCTTCCTTCTACTTGACAGAACATTCAAAGAAGTGAAACTTTGAGTTCAGCTCTGATTTCTCTGTAAACTTGAGTGATTGGTAACAACTCTTAAACTTTTCCACCCTGTCTTTGATGAAAGCAACATAAAAATATTTTTTACACATGTAATCTGTTGACCATTAGTTAACGTATAATATTTTCCGTATTGACCATAAAACATTCTGCTAGGAGTGGGCCAAGAGGTGATCCATTGGTTTGTTCATAAAATTTATTATAAAATCTGAACTGAACATTAAAAGTGCATCGAATAAGTAATCCCTTCAGATAATGTTTTGGAACACCAACATCGAGTTTGTTGTTTTCAATCTTGTCATATATGAAGCATATTGTTTCCGTAGGCGGAACATTTGTAAAATGAGAAGTAACATCTGATGATATCATTTTCTTTTCTATTACGCTGACTTTAGATATATAATCAATATATCTACTTAGCTGGTTTCTGATTGGTTATCGAATTTTAGTTAACCATTTAGCAATAGCGTGGTGTGGTGAGTTATAGGTAAACAACATAGGAAGTAGAGGGACATCTTTTCTGTGTACTTTGGGGAGACCATATAGTCGTAGTACAACGGATCATGATAGTCTAAGTTGTTCATAGGGATTACAGACGATAACTGACTAGTCTTTCATCTTTTTTAAAACTGTTCGATCTGTTCAGTGATATCTTTTTAGGTTTTGTCTTTAAAAGACTTGTCTACATTTGATGGCATGAAAAATATTTTTTTGACATTGTTCAAACGATCTGATAGAACAATACCACCACCCACATTTGGACGACTTATTACTAGATCTTTAAAAGATCGAATACTTTTAATTTGTGTTTTCTCTAAAATAGGCGTTTAGTTTTTGGCTTCTTTAGGCCTAATCATACACCTATAAAGTCAACACGAAATACTAGTCGATAGCTTACAAAAATAATATAGGTGTGAAGAGAATTCTGTTTGTTGAGCTGTCTTGATTTATTCCTTCATAACACGATTGGCTTATATTTTTACTAAGGGGAAAATCAAAGGGCTACCGTTTCGTTTCTACTCGACTGCTTCTACAACAATTTGATCATTTAACAAATACCAATAATCAAGACTTTATGTAACGGTTCAGCCACTTTTGTTTACTCATAGTTTTATATTGCAAATCTATAGGTGCAAATCTTAATAAAAATCACTAACTTATGAAAATGAATAAAAATAAGTTTTATCAAGGCAAAACATGAAAGAAACCAGTGAAAATGAAATGTTACTTGAGTTTTATGCATTGTTCCATTTTGTTTCTGTTGTTTTAAATGTGAAATCCACCAGTCTTCTGAGTTATTTGTTTTAACAAAATTAGTAAGAGGTTGCTGAAACACAGATAAACAACAAGGTTTATGAACTTATTAACAGTTTCGCTGATTGTAATAGTAGACTGATTTATTTATTTGGAAGTAGTGAAAAAGGCTAAAATCACGGATCATAATAGAGTTTTGATTAACTATCTCTGAGAATATTATGAGAAGCATTTGAGTCAAAACTATTATTTAAAAAAATATTATTTAATATACTGGTGCATTTCTGTGAACCACACATAGGTTATTATCGATTGTAAATTAAGTAACCATCCTGGGTTTTGTAAACCAAAAAAAATTTGGATAAAACTAACCCATACATTTTTAATCGAATGGTTGTACATCAATACACCGATCTTGTAAGCGTCTAAGAATTCAAGAGACTTTTTATATATAATCAATTAGTAAGTAATTCCCAATTAAGCATTATCAAGAAACCAAATCAACAAAAAAATAACATTTGAAATAATTGGCCAGTAGTCGTATACATCAAGATAAAGTTTTCTGGATTTCAGCTTAAACAAACTATTATATCTTATGAGAAGCTGGGTTTTCTGAAGTTAGCAGACGTATAAAAAGGCTTACACAGTCAAGATAGATAAGATCATATATTTGGAGTTTACAATTGTGATTCACTATCAAAGTAAGTGCTTCGTTACCAAACCATTCGGCTCATTGAGAAAAAAACTGGGTAATAAATGTTTATTATACACAAAGCCTAATATATTGTAACAGCTTGAAGATTTACAGTTTACTTTGAATCACGTGACAAATCATCTAGATTATCATAGATAAAGAATTATGATTAAGTTGAAAACAGCTGAACAATCATTTAAAATCAAAGAGTATGGGAAAATCCTTTTTTTTCGAACCTAAGAATCTTGAATTTCCACCTTGGAATTTCATTCTTCACTTATGATTTTACTAGCTAACCCAGCAGTCTTCTTTGTTTGCTGAAATTTGTCTTAGTAGAAACCTACACATTTTTCGATAGTCTGAATGATTAGTACGTGGTAATTATATTTTGACTTTGCTTGCAACTCTTCCATGTGTTTACGAAACGAACCATTCTAATGTCATTTAATCCATTCCCACAATAAACTATATGAACTCGACCTTAATGGGACTTACTTACTTACTTACGCCTGTTACTCCTCGTGAAGGAGCATAGGCCGCTCACCAGCATTCTCCATCCAACCCTGTCCTGGGCAATCCTTTCAAGCTCTTTCCAGTTCTTATTCATCTTTTTCATATCTGCTTCTATTTCCCGACGTAATGTGTTCTTTGGCCTTCCTCTTTTCCGCTTCCCTTCAGGATTCCAAGTTAGCGCTTGTCTCGTAATGCAGTTTGATGATTTCCTCAATGTATGTCCTATCCATTTCCATCGTCTTTTCCTAATTTCCTCTTCAGCTGGAAGCTGGTTGGTTCTCTCCCACAAAAGGCTGTTGCTGATGGTATCCGGCCAATGGATGTTGAGTATCATGCGTAGACAGCTATTAATAAATACCTGTACCTTCTTGATGGTGGTTGTTGTAGTTCTCCAAGTTTCAGCTCCGTACAGTAGAACTGCCTTGACGTTCGTATTGAAGATTCTGACTTTGATATTGGTTGAAAGTTGTTTTGAGTTCCATATGTTCTTCAGTTGAAGGAATGCCGCTCTAGCTTTGCCAATCCTCGCCTTGACGTCTGCATCTGAACCTCCTTGTTTATCGACGATGCTTCCCAGGTATGTGAAGGATTCCACGTCTTCCAGAGTTTCGCCATCAAGAGTGATTGGATTGCTGTTCTCCGTGTTGTGTTTGAGGACCTTGGTTTTCCCTTTGTGTATGTTGAGGCCTACTGATGCAGAGACTGCTGCTATGCTGGCTGTCTTTATCTGCATTTGTTCGTGTGTATGTGATAGGAGGGCTAGGTCATCTGCGAAGTCCAAGTCGTCTAATTGGTTCTGAGCTGTCCATCGTATGCCGTAGTTTCTCTCAGATGTCGAGGTCTTCATAATCCAGTCGACCACCAGAAGAAACAGGAAGGGAGAGAGTAGACAGCCTTATCTTACTCCGGTCCTTACTTGGAATGCGTCTGTCAGCTGTCCTCCATGCACTACTTTGCACTGTAGTCCGTCGTATGAGTTCCGGATAATGTTGACAATCTTCTCAGGAACTCCGTAGTGTCGAAGAAGTTTCCATAACGTCCTCCTATCTACACTGTCAAATGCCTTCTCATAATCAATGAAGTTGATGTAGAGTGACGAGTTCCACTCAATTGATTGTTCGACTTACTAGTTATCAATTGTTTTTATTCTACATATCCAATTACAAATGACTATTTTTATATTTATTCAGGAAGAAAACTGGTTTATAGATGATTGAAATTAGAAGGAACTTAAATAGGAAAGAAATTTATTAGATGGAAACGTATATATTTTGTTTTACAGACTGATCCTAATTACACAGTAATTTATCATTCGAAGTTGTATTATCTTCAGTAAGAGAAACAAACTGTGACTTAAGTGATTAGTTTATTAAATGCACAGTAATGAACTTCAACTAAATTGATTTAAGTTTGTCTTCTAGAATTTAAAAAGGAACAAAAATGGATCAATATGAACATTGTCAAGTTGCATACTCATTACACTTCGATTATACGCAGATTAGGAGTTTTCATAATTCAGCTACATAATTGGTAGTCAATTGATTAAAACACGAGTTTTTTTAATAAGCATAATATACATTCGTTTGTTGTCAGAACAACCAAAAGAGGTTAATTTGTTGACATTAACTTTTTCAGATGGAGACATTACCATTCTATAAGCTTGATCTAATTAAATATAGTGACCCAGTTCATTAATGATATCATATTTCGCTCTTGTTCACTACAAATCTAGTTTCGATGTTCCCAGTTTATTCGATAGTCTACAATTACAGTTGTACATTTATTTACCTAATATTTGTTTTACAATTCCACATTAGCAGGAGTTTAAATCACCGAGATTTACAGATTTAATAAAAATCTGTGACACTACGTGTTGCATGATGAAATATGATTGTAAAAATTTAGTGAAATGCATCGGAATTAGTAAAAAGTAAATCTTATAGATTTATAACAGATTGATAATTGATAGATGTCCAATGTTGTGTTTGTCTAGTCGTTTTAGTGTGGAAGGAATTCTATGATCAAGGTGCAATTTGGCCACTGGTTTAAAATGACTAAAAATTATGCGCACTATGTTGAAATGTCAGTTAATTAGAAGTAGTCCACATGATACCACGAACCTAGGTTTCATGTTATTTGGCTCTTGCAAACAGGGTGCACCTGTAATATTAAGGGAATCTGCGCTCTAAAGTGGACGAAATGTTATACATTAAATCGATCTGATAAAGGTTTATTACAGAAAATATGCTTAATGATTATCTAAAAAACGAACAAATGTGTTTATTGGAGTAATAGAAAGAAAAACATAATTAGTTTTGCAGAGGAATACATAAAAAGTGAATTATTATATGTTTAAACAAGTGACTAGATGTTTCTATTCAAGTAAACAATTTCTAAATGAAGATTAGTAGTAAACCGGATTATTTCACGTTGTTAGCTTACATGAGCGTCTAGTTAACAGTTTATCAAAGCTTATTTTGGTTGTCAATCATTATTATTACACAAAAGCTCATGGTTAAAGTTGAAATAATCGAGCTAAAATTGTAACCCAAAGGTAACATAGCTTAGTGGATATTAAGAGATTCATTCATATGTCAGCTTTTGACAAGAAACTTGAGATATAATAATTCGTAGTAATTACCAGATAGTCATAGCAATGTAGACTGAATAAGATTTAAATTCGAGGCATCACAATTAATGGTTGATTGATTATAACAACTAAGTTCCTGTAGAATAAGCGTGCTATGTGACACAACTAGCTAAATGACTTTAAAGTTTTCTTTGATTATTGGTTTTTCTGATAAGAAATAAGTGATGAACACATATTTTTTATTAATAAATTAATATATTTGTAATATCTCAATGAGTAAAAAAATTAAATTTTCCGACGTTTCGTGACTCAGTGTAAGCCACTTCTTCAGAGAATAAATAATCAAATCAATATTTTGATGACAATTGATAACAATCTACCCAACGCTTAATTTATTCAAAATTATCAAGTCAAACCTTGGTAATGATACCTACATATTTTTATCTTTATAAATGCTTTTTACTCTATGAGATTATTTAATTTGAATCTAGACAAACTTGAACTGGTGAAATCAGGTAGCATTATCTGTTATTGTTAATTTTTCTTGTTGTATCTACATCAATAGGAGTTCATTAATTCTTATTTACTTTGATGACTTTAATTTCCTTATTACAATAAATTTATAATAGGATGCTAGGCACATATCTCGGTTAAATATTATATAAGGCCAGATTAAATTCATATACATCCAATAAAATTATAACACAATGTTATTTTATCTTAAAAGTATTAATCACTTGATTGTTTGAAACATTTCGTAACTATTGATAGTTTGTTTATGGATAATAAATGAAATAATAAATTATATTAACACTTACTGTTTTTGTATCTTCACTTGGTTTAATGCATGTTTCAGCAACATTTCCCTTATTCTGAAATCTACATTCAACTGTGAATGCATCAGTTGGTGAACCAAGATTTGGATCAATCCAGTAAGTACCAGATTTAGAAGTTTCTGGAAACTCAGCAGCTTCAAATATATCACGACAATGTCTAGCTGGATTTTGTTGTGTACCCATAGGACGTTCAAAGCTATTCATAGATGCTTCTAAGCTTTCGATTCTTGCATATATACGACGTAGTACTGCACCAACTGATGGTATTGTATTCGGTGTAATACTTTCATCTATTAGTTGTGCAGAATTATTATTAGTAGTAAAAAGTACTATGGATAAGTTTATACTCGAACTTTTAAACTAAACGTTGAGGGAACTATAATATCTAAAAAGAATAGTTTAGTCTACTATACTCTAAAATTTACCAAAAAGCAGAACTTATTATCGCTTCCCTTTCTTTCTATCCTAATTATTCCCTTTGTGATTGAATACTTAAGATCTCATCCTGCTTAAAACTAATTTATTTCAAAATAGTTTTACAAAAATAAACCAGTTGATGACTGATCTATTCGAACATAGTTTTTTTCTAGAGAGGTTTTAGTAGTGAAATATGTAGAGTTGAACGTTAACAATGAGCATACGATTATGCAGTGTAAAGGACGACTCCACAAAATGGTTACGACTTGATATTTTTATAGGAATGAATCTTGTTTTACAGCCATTAGTGATTATATGTTGCTCCACACATTGTTGAATACAGAAGCTTTAAATTTGACGACAAAAATATTGTTCAATAAATTAATCTACGTTTATCAATTAACTTTTACTGACTTTACTCGTGATATAGTGCTAAGATTATTCAAATTTACCGATAGACATCTGGTTCGCTACTGACGGTTGAATTCATAGGTTGTAGTTTCTCGACAGAGCTCAAAACAAGTCATTTGTGAGAACATTAATTAATTTTATAGTTTTTGGTAATTTATTAACTTTACAAAAATGTTTGAGATAATAAAATTTAGTTATTTTTAGTCGAATGTCTATTTGCAATGAACATGCTATAAGAAGTGTTCGTTTACTTATGCTTTTTAGTTTCTTGTTCTATTTTTAAAAGGAGCTAGCAATGTATTTCAACGTAGATATTAGTCTTTATTTGAAAGTTTATCATTTTTAACTCAACACAAATTTTCTACACATACTTTTGTGGTGTGTGCTACTGATCGATGGATATAAGTAGTATGTATCATCAATCGAGAGTGAAATGCCTGGAGGCAGAAGGTTAAGAAGATTAAAGAAAAGAAAACGAGAACAAACAATGATTTCTGTGGAATGGAGAGAACAACGAAATCTGAGACGATTGATTGACATTTTCAGAAGAAAAAGTCAAGTTTGGGACAATTGATTGACATTTTGCAAATGAAGTATCTACTGTATGGTTAGTAAGAGATTCTGTAATTTTGTATTGAAATACATCCCATTGTCATCACTTATGTTCTCGTTCACTACAATTTAAGTATTTTTACATAAATACATTTATTGGAACTTTCTAGTAGACAATCAGAAATTTGATATTACGATTATTTTAAAATTTTGTTTTAAAATCTAATAACGTTCGTACATGCAATAAAACTAATCCAACGGTATGAAATCTATAAAAGTAAGCTCAAGTATAGTTTGTGGTTCAGTGTTTTAGTAATATAGCTTATGACCTTAGGTTTTAAATCACAATAGTTTGTTATGCTTGAAAAACAAAGAATCATTCGATTGATTTTTATTGATTCATAATTCTTATATATGAGACATTTTAAGACAAAAATTTTCTCTTAGTCAATGACCCCCATTTATTTTTCAAAGTAGGGGTTTATGAAACTTAGTAATGTTGGAAGTTTATTTCGATCACTCCTAGAGTTCTCTTTTCTGCTAAGGAAATAAGAGGGTCATTCCTCTAGATGATGAAAGGTGTCCTAAGGTTAGCGTCTTATAAACATTTGGATCTCTTAATATATAGTCTACTAGCAATCATAAGATGAAAAATTATATAGAACCACCTGGAATTTTATCCAGAAACGCTTAGAAGAGAGACTAAGGTAAAGAAAAATTCAAATGATTATTCACTTTACAGTATAACTTACCTGGATCCTGTTTCGAATAATATTGATTATGGTATAAAGCATCTGAAATACTACGTCTAACTCTTGGTGTATCCTCAAACCTATAATAACCTTCACTCATATCTAAGACCTTGATTGGACCCGGAGGTCCCGGTGGTCCTGCTGGACCAGATGAACCTTTTTGACCTGGAACACCAGGTAATCCTATAAACGAAAAAAATATATAAATCAGAATCATTAATTACAAAAAATAAGGTTCAGTTGTATTTTTAAGGAAGCTCAATATATTTTGTAATGACGTAATGCCTACGTAAACAATACAGAAATACACTTATCTTGATAACTTGAAGCAATTAATTCCCTTAAATGTTCATAGTAACTTCGATTTATGTGGAAACCATAATTCTTGGCGTAAGTACTTCCTAATCTATAGGTAACGTGTAATAAAATCGGTTGTCTATGATTGCAAATCATGATTTAACGAAATAGTTACTAACTTACGTTTCATTTTAGATCTCGAACCAAGATACCTATAAGTATTTTACTTTTTTTACGTTATTGTTAGCATGATTTCCCTTAAATAAATTATACTTAAAAAAAATAAGAGTAGTTCTCTATGAATATTGAATGAGTTGTTTAGTATTAGTTGATATGAAGGAGTAAAGCTATTTTAACATGAAATGTTTACTGGACTTCAAGTTTGCTTATAACTCATGCCTCATCCCAGATAATCAAAGAGCACCACTTTTCATGACAAAACTTCTTACGATTATTTAACTTTTGCGGAACTAAATAAAATTATCAGGTATTTTTGTATAGGGCAGTGTGAAAAATAACAAAAGATAATATATAAGATATAAAACTCATGAATTTAAAACTTCTGTTTATAAATCCAAATTCATTTACTAACCTGGCGGACCAGGATGTCCAGCTGGACCTTCAGGGCCAACCGGTCCAGATGGACCTGGTTGCCCTGGATCTCCGGCAGGTCCGACAGGGCCCCTTTCTCCTTTAAGGCCAACCACTCCTCGTACGCCCTCAAGTCCGGGAACACCTTGTTCACCCTTTGGTCCAGGAGGCCCCAAAGGACCGACTGGACCATAAGTTCCTTTGCTACCTTTTGGACCACGGTCACCTTGTATACCAGGGTCACCTTGCTTACCCTGAAAATATTTCATAACAAAAATAAATTTTGTTGGCATATTTTATTTCAGTACATGGATAAACGATAACAGTTACGGTTTATGTGTGACAAGCTCAAAGTCACATATAGTTTATTTGGGGACAAAATATCTACAAGGAAATTCAAATGAACCTAAAGCAGATCCTGTTAACAGATTTTAACGATAATGTTAGACAATATATCTAGAAATACTAATGTCTAACCAAGTTTTAAAGAATAAATATTACAGTAATGCATATCAGGGACTTCAATAATGAATAAACCAAAAAAGGGTTAAAATATTATACTGTTTATTCAAAGCAATAAGCAGACCTTTAAAAAGAAAAATATATGTATTAATTTACTTGCAGTCCTTCTGATCCTCGTTCTCCTGTCTTGCCTTGTTTACCCATTACCCCCTATAAGTAAGTTAAAAAAAAAGAAATCAAAGAATACAGAATTATATCTTTTGCACTGGAAATAAAACAAGATACACTTTACTTAGTCTTAAAAAAATTGTTTCTTTATGCCCATTAAAATGATCATGCATATACTATTAATTTATAAATCGAATGGTATACACACAAATTAACTTTATGAACACAGTCAATATTCATGAATGTTAGTTGACAGTCGAACCCATTAGAGATTCGCTTTAGATTTTATGTGCTCTCCAAAACATACTTCATTTTATCAGTTACTTTCATTTACATTCATTAGATATTTTCTTTTTTCGTTTTGACATGGTTTAGATCCATGTATTTTATAATTGACAATCTTACTGTCCATATTTTTTTTATTTGTAAAGGCTTTTTCGATTTTTGTCATCATGTAACAAACAGTTGAGATTTCCCATATGTATATCAGTTTAGTCTATTCTTATCATCGTGATTTGCCGTATTAGTTAAAGTTACCGACATTATTAATATGGTTTATTTTTTTGTTATATTTATCTTTCTGTAGATAACTTTTATATTTATTATTGTGACTACCCTTCTATATTTTTTTATCTCCAGTAAACCAAATTCTGACAACTGAATATTTTAAATCAATGATTGACGTTTATAAAAAAAAATAGATATTCTAAGCTGTTCGAATTCCATATTTCCCAGTTGGTTGGCTTGTAAAATGAATATCTCATAATCAGCTCGAAATTTACAAAATCACATAAAAATTGAAATATCACTTAACAGATATGTTAGTATCACACTAAAAGTATCCAAGAATGGAATTCATGTCTCAGAATGCTTTACAAGTAAATCTAAACAAAAAATATATCACTCAAACAAGGGTAAAGTGTATTAAAGCACGAGTTGGAAGGGTATAAATTGTTTCATTTCCTTTGGTGACCGAATAATTGTAACATTTACTTTTGCATACTGTACGTATTACCTCGATATTACCTTAATTCACAAGCCCTATAGGCAAAGATGGATGGTGGCTAGCAGTGGAATCCAGATGGCACGTTTAGTCCTATTTAGGACTCGTCAGCGAGATGTATCTGCAGCCGAGCTGATATCCATTTCGGGACTCGAATCTAGCACCGTTCATTTTTAGCGTCATCGCGTTATCCACATAGCTACTAAGTACAGATGACCACTAGCTAGTGCAATGGGATGAAGTTTAATTCATTTTTGTATTGTTTGTTTGAATGTTCACAATGATTTTTAGAACTTCAATTGATCAGTCTCTTATTGGCATATGTACCTCCTGTGCGGATTGCCTCGATATTGTCTTGAGTCACAAGGATTATAAGCAAAGATGGATGGTGGCTACCAGTGGAATCCAGAATGTGCGTTTAGTTCTATTTGAGATTTTTCAGTGAACGGTACAGGGTTCGGGTCCAGGAGTGAACATTACCTCTGGGATGAAGGTACATCTCTGCTTATCATTCTGTTATTAGGTAAGTAACTAATATCGTTTAAAATGACTTAACGAAATTTATTAATGATGCAAACACTGAGTAAACACTATGTACTGAAAAACAAAAAAAGTGACCTCAGATGTAGTGTCTTGCTAGATATCTCAGAATATATTACTAATTAGGACTAAAACTAAAAAAACAAAAGCAAGGAGTTCTGCTTACAATATCAGTTGGAATTACTTCTTTTAGTTAGTACTGACTACAAAAGTTATTTGAATCCACGAATTTTAGGAGATGATTCTCAATTAACAAGATAGCTTTCACTAAATTTTCACTGGAAGGTTATCTCCTAAAATTTGAATATTATAAGCAGTTATCAACTGTCATGCAAATTCTCTATGCATTCCGTACAGAAATAACCAATACATAATGAATAAAATGAGTAAAATGAATTACTACTTACTGGTACACCTTGCTGGCCAGGACTGCCCAAAGATCCTGGAGGTCCAGGCGATCCTACTGGACCAACGCGTCCTGGTTCACCAGGTACTCCTTGTTCACCTGTTTCACCTTTTACACCTTTAGGACCCTGAGGTCCAGTACGTCCTTGAGGACCGGTCATACCAGGAGGTCCGGGTGGTCCTAGAGGTCCAGGTAGACCTCTTAAACCTTGTTTTCCAAGAGGACCTTGTGGTCCAGGAGACCCATCTTCTCCAACTGGTCCTTGAACACCTTTTGGTCCAGGAGGTCCTGTTGGTCCTTGAGGTCCAGGTATTCCTAAAGGACCCTGAGTATTCAAAATGAAATAAAATGTTTCATTCAGATAAACTTGTCTTTTTATTCCACAGAATCTTGAATACAAGCAAAAGAAATAATAGGGTGGAATAAAATGTCAAATTTATTCCTTAGTATAGAAGGCAAAATTTTCATCAAAAACAAAAAAGTCAGTTTATGGGGTTCGGAACATACGTCCAGTATTCAATTGATTCCAAATGATGGGATTATTGAGACATATATTATTGATCTTTGAAAATTATGAGAAATAATCTCTGATATGTAACGTATTATGACAATTTACGGTTTATTCTACCTCGGAAGCATTCTAATGTCAATTTACTTATCATAACCTCATTGAAACTATTGTAAAGGCTCCTTCGGGTAAATTGGATGCATTTATAATTCGGCTTTTGAAATTATTCAGCAACAGCCTACTGTGGGCGAGAACAAACCAGCTTCCAACTGAGGAGGAAATTAGGAAAAAAACTCTGGAAGTGGATAGGATATACATTGTAAAAATCATCAAATTGTATTACAAGGCAAGCACTAACTTGGAATCCTGATGGGGAAAGAAAAAGTGGAAGGACAAAGAACACCCCGCGTCGGAAAAAGGATGAATAGTAACTGGATTGCTCAGGACAGAGTTGGTTGAAGAATGCTGGTGAGCAGTCTATGCTCGTAGATGAGGGATAACAGGCATAAGTAAGTAAGTTTTGAAATTATAAACAAGTCTAACTAAATTAATTAATTACTGACTAATATTCTAGTATAAATCAACTTCACTTTCTTATTAATAGGTACAAATAATTTTCAAGTCGGAATAGAACTGAGACTAAAAATTTAGTTATGGTTATTCATTATAAAGGAATTGTGCTATTATACTATTAGCTTTTAAGGTAAATACCTAACAGTATCAAAAGTACCAATTTTATACCTGTAAAAACAATGACCATTATAGTGGGACTAAAGAGGATAATGAATTGACAATATGAAGTATTCTATATACATTTTTGTACGAATAATTCTCCAAACGAGAGTTAAAGTCCTCTTGATATCACGCTTTGAAAGTAACAAAACGACTCACCAACTCTCCTTTCGGTCCATCGGGTCCTGGAACCCCTATATCACCAGGTACTCCTTGTGGCCCACGGGGACCCTCTTGACCCTTTGGTCCCAGTGGTCCCTGTACTCCAGGACTCCCTTCGACACCTCGAGGTCCTGGTGGCCCATCTTCTCCTTGAGTTCCTCTTTCTCCTTGTTGCCCAACAGGACCAGGCGCTCCAACATTTCCAGGTTGGCCAGCTGGGCCAGGGACTCCAACTGTCCCGGGTAAACCGCGTCGACCGATAGGACCTTGTGATCCCTGGTCTCCTTTTTCTCCTGCTATTCCTGGTAAACCTGTCACACCTACCATTCCAGATACACCTGGTGCTCCTGGTAATCCTCGAGATCCTTCTGGACCGACTAACCCTTCAGGTCCCTCCTCACCTGCTTGTCCAGGGAGTCCTGGTGGTCCCTAAATAAAATAAAACGAGTATATTATGAATAGATGATGAGGTTTCAAGAGTTTTTTCGTTAATTAGTATTCGTAGGTACAGGTTCGAAAACCGAATCGTTCTGTAGGAGTTTGTTGAATAAATAGTAGTTAGTTACAAATTTTTATCAGAGTGGCATTCGAAAGTTATGTAACTTCTCTAATGGTTAAACCAATAATCTAAAATCAAGAAAAATCAGTTTAACAAATTATATATATTTGTAGGATGTTTTTTTAAAGATACCAATAGATATGCGTTGTGGATACTACTGATATCAAAGCTCTTACTGATATTTCACTATTCCGTTCGTTACATAGCGTTACCATTAATACGGTAGTCTAATAGTTTACTATTTCGAACCTTACAGTAAAAATACTTATAGAAAAATGTACTAGGAGATCAAGCTTTACATTCCTGTAAGAAAAAATCCTATAGTCTCACTTGAACCTAATTATGTCACATACCGTTACATATCACGTGTGTGGGGTGACACATAGGAAGGAGTTATGTAGTTACGTTTGGAAGTTATGTAGTTGGAAGTGATAAAATGTTGAAAGAAACAACTGTGGGTTTATTCAGAGTAGTAATTCACAATAAGCACGAAGTGTAGATAATTATCTTTCTCTATGCTCAACATCATGGTTAAAGCTAGTCGTAACACTAACCTTAAAACAGATTTCAAATCTTAATGAAGAAACTGTAGAGGAAACGTCTTTAGCTGTGTTTTCCTGAGAATAAAGAAATCCAACCCATCTTCACATGCAAAATATGGCTCATTCCCATCCTAAACCGGCTATGGTAATCTGTAATTTCATTTTTTATCATAGAAATCTTAATAGAAGTTAATATTCATTCTTTTTCATATTTTGTCGTCCATATATTCGTCCCTATTGTAACTATTTATTGATTAATCTTAATTTTATTTCCTTTAACATTAATTTGGTTGATAAGCAAATGGATGGTCAGATTGTTCTGGATGAATTCAGAACTTTCATTACACTGTTCAGTTTTTCTCAAAGTATGTTAGTTTTCAGATTTCTACATTGTGGTCGGTTGAATCCTATTAACGTATTTGGTAATACCTATAAAAAGTTATTAACTTCTCGTAGCTACTTTAAATGGTTGTTCCTATGTTTGTTTTGTTCAAAATCGACAAGTGCTAAAAGGCGAAATTGGTCCCCTAAGCTTTGTTGAAAAAATTTACTTTCACAAAATGATTGCTTACTTGTATTCCAGGTAACCCAGGGCTACCAACTGGTCCAAAAGGTCCACGTATACCCTTGTAATGAAATAAAGTAAAGCAATTATGTGATTCCAATAAACTACTTAGTTAAACAAGATTTGTGTTATAAAAATACAAAACACTAAAGACTTGTCTTATGGTGAATGTGGCAAGAACCCTTTAAAGTTAAGTAAAATTTAAAAAAAAACAAAGTGGAAACTTATCAATACTTCACACATAAGAAGTTTTAAGTAATAGACAAATATCCTGATTATTTATCAATAAATATTGAAAATGTTTAGTATTCACTTAAAATAGGACTAATGCAAAAATACTTACCACTCCTCCTTTATCGCCTTTTGGTCCTGGTGGCCCAGATGCACCCTTATCGCCCTTTTCCCCATCAAAACCAGGAGGCCCTAAAGGTCCAATAGGACCTAATCGACCAGGTGGTCCTCTTGGCCCAGGAGATCCTATTAGTCCCAAAGGACCATCTTCACCGGTTAAACCTTTGACTCCAGCTGGACCAGGTGGGCCTCTTGCTCCCATCGGACCTGGAAATTTATAAAAATTAATCTAGAAAGTTATTAGTTTATTTCATGCTTTTATCCGGTCGGTAACATGTCTTCAACAAAAATCGTAGTTGCATTTCAGTCCCATGGAACGTTATAGTAGGTAGATAAGTGAATAAAACAGATCCCCTGTATACAGTTGATTTAAAAGATTACAAGTAACAGTCACACTCTTGACGCTATTTAAAAATATACATTCTTTAGTACACTACTCATTAGTAGGCTAATACTTCAACTCGATAAACGTATGTCGGGACTACATTTTCTTGTTATAGTATCCTTAATACAATGGCTTAAAGAAGTATAAAAACAGCTTTTGGTTAGATACTGTTTGCGATTATACGGAACTATCGATTCTCAGTCCCGTGAAATATCCCTAAACTTGTTTTTACTTCAAGTTGTGACTAAGATATAGTCGAATACTTTCGCAAATATGTGCTAAGTTAGAGGAACTGAGTGAAAATTGATCATCATAGTGTTTCACCCAGAGTTAATTTAGTCCGAATTTTTTCTGGGCAATCATAGCATTAACATATCATTTTAAATTAAAATATAGAAAGTTTGTTCTATGAAAGAATCGTATGAACTGAACTACACTGCAAAATTTATTCAGTTGAATCTTTAAACTTAACCAGCAGTGTTTACTCAGTAATATTTTGTTATTATTAAAGAAAACACAGATTCATGGCAGAAGTTTGGTGACCGAGTATAAGAAGTTGGGAAACCCCTTATTGCTTGAAGATCTAATTTATAACTGAAATAACATGAGGGGATACTTAAAGGTTGAGATGGATATTTATTAAAAGTCATCTAGTTTTATTGACTTGACATGGATGAAATATTATGTAGCATATATTAAACATGTATGCCAGAGTTAATTTAGTGATACTGCAATAATTTTTATTCTGTCAATCGAAAAATTATAAACTGATATTTTCTAAACGCACCTGTTGGTCCGATTGGCCCGATAATACCAACATCACCTTGGTAGCCTTTATCTCCAATAGGTCCAACTTCACCATCAGGTCCTAGTTCACCTTTCACACCAGCTGGTCCAGGTCGACCTGGCATGCCATCAAATCCCGGAAATCCTCGAACACCTTGATTACCAAGTACTCCTGGTGAACCTCTTACACCTTTAGAACCAGGCTGACCATCACGCCCTGGCATACCATCCTTTCCAGGATCTCCAGTTGGACCCTATATTGTTATTTTTTTACAGTGAAAGAAGAATATTGACGTGAGATAAACGATGACTAAGCGACAAACTTCTGTTTACTTAGATATATTAAAAATTTGCAACTGAATTTTACACACACTAGAAGGTATATAAATTGAAATATGTAATGAAATTTATCTATCTGTCTGATGCCCTGATGAGGTTTTCTAAAAAGACAGTTAAATATTGATGATTAAATCATATAGATCAAAGAGCATGAATGAACCAAAATACACCTTTATCTTGGAGTAAATACTTTTAAGTTTCTGAAAATATTATTCATTTTGACGTCAAAGAAGATAGAGTAAGTCAAAAATTAAACATGTACAAAATAATACAGTGACAGGTTATACCAATTGATCGTGACTAAGAATAACTTGACAGTGACGTATTCAAACCTGTTATGATTTTGATTACACTAAAAATATTCCGTTTTGTTTCCTGTTTTTTGCTATTCAGATTTAATTTTGTCATTTATTTACTCTGAAGAAGTGACTTACATTGATTCACGAAATGTCAGAAATACAAATTTCTACTAATTCAAATATAACAAAAAGAAATTCTCATTTTATTTGAAACTATCAAGTTCAACCTTGGCATTGATACCTACATTAAAGAGTATATGTTTTACGTTAGTTTTATGATAAATTTGATCATTTAAAATTTTATAATCTTTAGAAAATTAAATAAAGCAAGAAAAAGAAGATTCATAGAGGCAATCGGCATCATATTTATTGTACTAGAAATATTTTCTATTTATGTCATACAAATAAGGCCAAACAAGTACTTTTCGTATGACACTATATTTATATGTCTGTTCAAAATTAGGTAGATGTCCATAAATCGCTCCAAATACATCCTAAAGAATCCAATTTGAAGGGGTCCAATTCGATTGGAATTCATATACAGGAAACATGACATGATTTAGATATTTATTTTCTCAATGAACAATAAAGTGTCGTTCCTATTTAACCATACTAACAAAAGTCACAAAATTAAAACTTGATGCTCAGATTCAACAAAATTGGTTATTAACTTTTAATTTGCTTTGTAAAACAAGTAAATATCGTAATTAGCATCTTTTCCTTATGTATAATATGATTATAATTCAGGTTTCTTCTTTCTTTATTACTTTCACGTTTGCAGTTGATTCTTTCTTGCTGTGAACTTTAAGCTCGGCTAGTTATCACGTGATTTATTCACTAATCCAAATACGGCTTATTCACTCTTGTACTGTGCTAAACCAATGATGTTCGACCGGTATGAGCAGCCTATCGTCCTTGTTAGTCCTTTGTTCGCCTAGTCCCTTCAGTTGAGTCCAGAATACCAATAACAGCTTCTACTATGCGAATAATTTATTTCACACATACTTGGTTTATATACCGGCCAAAGAGACCGCATTACACCATAAAATAGGAAATAACATTGAAACAAGATCAAGCCAAAAAAGTGGCTGTGAACGTGGGAGACTGCAATCAATAAACTGAACATAACTTGAGAACAGTAAATCGTATTATAATAATTAATGAGTCAAAATGAAGCTTATAATAAGATAAATATAGATAAACACAATCTAGTTGCTGAATAGTTATACAATAACTATATATATATAGCAGTTATTTCCTGTATTCAGAAGTAGTCACCTTAATTATATTTTAAAGCCTAGTCAAAATTATTTTAATTTGGTCTACACTCAGATTTAGTGTTATATATATACAATTTGCTTTCTCCAGTAGCTATATCAACTCTGAATTTTAAAGGTATGTTACATACTTATTTACATTACTGATTATCTAAAATTATTAGTCCGTTTATAGATGAGGAGAATGCGATGAAATAAAAAAGGAACTTTGGTCTAATGTAAATACTTAGTTCTTGAGTACAGATAATCTTAGATATTATTCAGTGTTATATGTATATTGGTACCTAGCAATCACGAGAGTGTTTTGATCAGTATAGGGTTGTGGAGATTTCTAAGGCCCAGGACAGAGTGGGTTGGAGAATGCTGGTCGGCGGCCTATGCTCCATTAGGAGTAACAGGCGTAATGAATGAATGATAATGAAGATTACTAAGTTATTGATTGAGATCACGAACTGATTGATGCTAGACCACAAATGAAAACCTAGAATCATTGGACGACTGTTTAGTCCTACTGTAGGACTCCTGAGCAGTGCGCATCCACGATCCCGCTTGAGGAATTCGAACTAGAAGCCTTCAGTATCGCGAGCAAACACTTAACCTCTAGACCACTGAATTGGCATCCAACCAATCCGCGAAATTGTGCAACCACCTTCCATTTTACTGAGGTAGATACCTATCTCTACCAGACACAGATTAGCTCCACTGGTCACGGCTTCTCACTAAAACTCCGAGAATTCTCTCAAGAAGCTAGCCACTAGTGAGTACATGGTAATTATCAGTAAAGGGTTGTGGAGACTATCAGGTTTTTGATTGAGATCATGAACCGACTGATGTTAGACCACCAATGAAAATCCTGCGAGCGGGACCACGAATGAGCACTGCTGTGGAGTCTCACAATAGGACGAAACGGCCGTCCGGTACCTCCAGATTGTTTCGAACCCATTTCTTACAGTCAGCAAGTTGCTTGATTTCCTTTTATTTTCTGTGAGTGGAAACTGTTAATACTTACGTTTTAATAAATAAAAATGCACTTTATTGTGTGCAGTAAGTTTACATGATAATGAATCGAATAAATTTTGAATAATCTTAAAAACACTCATTACTCTTACTTTTTTTCAAATCTGCTTACAGATTATTTCTATGACGATACTTATTCTCATGAAATTATAGTGACATCAAAATGTTTATTATAAATACTTTATTTGTTTGAAAGCATTCAGTTACACCGCTTACACTAGCTAAAACATGGAAAAATCTGTCCATCCCCTTTGAAATCTAGAAAGTTATATCTTAAGATCAGTATATTACTTCTGTATTTTTTTGACTCAATTTAGGAGCAATCTTCAAACTATGAAACAAATGAATAATTAAGAACGTTTAGTATTAGAGCGTACGACTGTTTTCAATAACCTCCTTATCAAGCTCTACAATTATAAATCCAATAATATTATTATCTTATTGCAACAGACAAAATAGAAAAGCTGAATTAATACAAGTTATGAACTGAAAATAGTGAGTTTTAGATTGATTTGCTCTCAAACACTACAAAATAACAACAAGTTGCGTAATAGAATATGGATTAAATAGATTAAGTAACTTACTGTTGGTCCGACTGGACCTTGTTGTCCTTCAGGTCCTGGATCGCCTATAGGACCCGGTGGTCCAGTGTTCCCAAGACTACCAGGTTGTCCTGCTGGTCCACGTTCACCTGGTTCTCCACGTGGTCCAGGAAATCCAACAGGTCCTTCTCTTCCAGTTGAACCCTATTGATGTTTTTCAAAAGCAGTAAGAATAAAAGTGGTTGAAGTGAACTGTTTATTTTTGTAATACGAAGAATAATGAAAGTATAGAAATAATCTCAGCGAGTAAATGTTCGCTTTGAAAATGCAGCAGCTGATTGTATTCATCTCGAATAACTGACTAATTTTTAATAATTTATTGCTACGATTATAATAGAAGATTCGACCAATCCTTATTTCTCATCATCTTAAAATTATTGAGTAATTACGCAAATATTCATAAATGAATATATCTGTGCTTATGATGTTGGTTTCTCTCTACGTAAGAGATATAGTTTACTTTTACCTAGAAGAGGCAAATTTATCATTGCATTAAAATGAGTCTTTTGTTCAATTATAAAAAACATTAGCCAAACATATTTTACTTCATTTTGATAGAAGTACTAATTGTACAAGAATAATATATGCTGCACACTCTTATAGATATTCCTATTGAAGCTACAGTGCAAATATTCTGTGAAATATTTTCGAAAAATTTTAGGTGGTCTAAGCAAGTGAAGAGAATTTATTTTCAGAATGAATAATGATCTCAGTTAAAAACTCGCTGAAGCGGTGAGTATAACGTTATTGAAATTCATAAGTTAATGTCCGCTAAATTCTTAACTATTACAACATTGATAATTTGTTGAATACTAAAGTCGAAATTCTCGTGACTGAAGTTTTGAAAAATCAACTAACTGTACAAAAACAAAATATTAAAAAGCTAAAAATCAAACGTTTGCTTTCAGAAATTTACGATCACATAAAATGGGACTTACTGGTGGTCCTATTGGTCCAGGAGGTCCGACGGGGCCTTGAAGACCTTGTTCACCAATCGGTCCGACGGATCCAACTGGACCAACCGGGCCAGCATCTCCTTTCATGCCCGGCGGGCCAAATCTTCCTGGTGGACCTCTTGGCCCAGGAGCCCCTCTCTGCCCTTGCTGCCCAGTTTCACCCGGTGAACCTGGAGGTCCTATGTCTCCTTTGTCACCGCCTCGACCTCGTCTTCCAGTTAAACCTGGTGGACCTCTTTCCCCATCTGGACCGGGTGGACCTGGGGTGCCGATAGCTCCCGGTAAACCTTTAGTCCCAGGGTCTCCTCTTTGTCCAACTGGACCAGGTGGACCTGGGTCACCTTTCATACCTGTAACGCCTGGCGACCCTACGGGGCCAGATATTCCAATGTCTCCCTTCACTCCTTTTGGACCTGGATCTCCAGGAACCCCTACAGGCCCTGGTTTTCCACTTTCACCTTTTGCACCTTCAGGACCGGCCCGACCCCGTTCACCTTTATAACCTCTTGGTCCTTGAATACCTGTATCACCTTTTGATCCATTCGGACCTGTATCTCCTTTAGGCCCTACATCTCCTTTGGGACCTAGAAAGCAAAGAAGAGATGGGTAAACCAGGATAATAGATAGATGAATAGGACAGTATGGTCCGATAAAAAAAGCCTCAAATAAATCATTAGCTGTTTCGCGAAAAAAATTAAACACAATTTATAACATTTAAATAATCGCATGTATTAATTTTTGAATGAATGTTTTTGGCACTAATATTCATCTAACATTAATTTACGTTTTATTTTAGGGGTTTATTTAATGTTTGATAACTTCGCAGAATCTGATTATCATTTTCAAAGAGTTAAGTAAAATAATTTCGAAGAATCTAAGTAATAGGTGTCAATGACAAAGTTGGACTTGATTGTTTCAAATAAATTGAACATCGGGTAGAGAGTTATTAATAAATATATTTTTGTTATATCCCAATAAGTAGAAAAATTGTAATTCTGACGTTTCGTGACTTAAGCTACCTCTCCAGAGTAACTAAATAACCGACATTAAATTAACATAAGTTTAGTTAGTCCTAAGCAACATTTGACGATGCTTCATCAGTTTCATGTCATACAACAATTCGTTATGAAGTGGAGATATTAGGTTAGGTGTGCAAATGGCAAATATGAATGATAAAATCAAGTTGGTAAGGAGATCTGGGTAATATAAAATTAGTTGTCCTTTTATTTAATATTGTAAAACTAACTGACCTGGAAATCCTGGGAGACCGTCAGTACCTGGAACTCCTGAAGGTCCAGAGCGTCCCCTCTGACCAGCTGCACCTGTTGGACCACGCGGACCAGCCATACCTTCTGGCCCAGATGTTCCTATAGGGCCTGCTGGCCCTGGTAATCCTGGTAGACCGGGTTCTCCAAGTTCACCTTTACGTCCCCGCGGTCCCTGATTTCCGGGTTTTCCTCTCGGACCCTGCGGACCCGGCTGACCCACAGGACCACGTACTCCAGGCAGACCTGGATCTCCTTGATCTCCGATATCTCCGTGAGGTCCACGTGGTCCCTCTTCACCTGGGAGACCCTGATCACCTTTGGGACCAGGAGGCCCTAATTCACCTTTATCTCCTTTAAGGCCTATAAGTCCAGAATCACCAGGGCGTCCATCTTCCCCCTGAAAAATTAAAAAATATACACATTTGATGGAGCCTAATGAATGAGTATAATCACTTTAGCGTTGTCATCATAGCTCTTGATGGGCCACTACTCTCCACGTTTTGTGAAAGATTATGTGATTAAACACACAAAGACAAAAAATAACTACTAATAGTCTTTTACTAACGAGTAGTACTGTTGTAATCAAGATTTTTAGTCAACTACTTAAGTACTATATTAACCTTGAGTGCTCTATTGATTCTAGTCCTAATACAGCTACTTACATTGAAAGCCAGTTTGTATAATTAAACAAAACGACTCTATTGCGCTGTATTTGATCCAAGCTAGAGTTATCCTAGTACGATTCCTGTTGAAAATTATCAGTACTATTCTACATGAATATGTCGCTATCCTCTATAATTGGAAGATTTCTTATTGTATTCTTACATAAATAATTTCGTTATCATTAGTCTCTGAACCATACACCAAACTGCATAATTCCCAACGACATTTAACACAACTAACTAAAATGTTGTATAAAAAGATATTTCTTTTCATATTTCATTAATAGATACTTCATCTCTTATAAATTTTGAAAGGAAACCGCATTAATCCTTGAGACCACCTGATCAGAAGTTCAATATTTGTTATTCCACCTCAAGCATAAAAATTCATAATAGTTGATTCCGTGTCACCTAATACTCATTTTCAGTAAAGGGTTGTGGAGATTGTTAGTTCCTAATTGAGATCATGAACTAATAAATGTTAGACCACCCTAGAAAACCGGAAAGCATTGGATGGACACCTCATCCTAGTGTAAGACTTCTCAGAAGTGCGCATCCACGCTCCCAAACAAAGTATTCAAACCCAGGACCTTTGAGTTCACACGTGAACGCTTAGCTTGTAGACCACTTAGACGGCATCGATCAATTTCATTCTGTTTTCCAAAATGTTTGTTTACAATTCTGACAAGTCATAGTAGAAAACTAGAGATTGTCTCAGTGAAAATACCAAAACTTTGTTTTGCTTACTTTCATGCGACAAAATGGCCAGTGCTGAGTTGAAAAGAATTTCAATGTTAATAGTTTCCACATTTATTTATATTTAAAATATATATAAATTTTGATCAGGATAACTTATATCCTGACACTAAGAATAAACGCGTAGTTTCCAGAAATTATTTCTTTGTAAGTCAATACGTGAGTTGTTGACATGAATATTATGGATAAAGCTACTCGACTATGAAGAAAGTGTCACATGTGATCATACACGCTTTCCTCTAAATTAAAGTAGGCTGCATAGTCAGTGTAATAATCTCTTAATAGATTACCTGCAGTCAGTTTCAATGAATATGAAGAAGAATGTAGTTGAGTCAGTGTAATAATTACGAATTCATCCCGATATGACATTAGCTAGTGTAATGTAATTGTCAGTACCTTGAACCAAAGTTTTTATTGACTTCCGTTATATTGAGCAACACTCATTATTTGATTCACAATAAATAAGGTCATCTATTTATCATGATTATGTTATATAATTACTGGAGCTAGTTATCTTTTTATCAGTCCATTCAAGTTAAATACGTGCATAACACACATCAAATTGTAGTTATAACTAAAGCATTTATTTTTTAAATAATACATTTCAATGACTAGAAAACGATAAAACAGAATAAAAGTGCTAATAAAGCAATTCAGGTGAATAACTCACTTTCATTCCTGATGGACCAGGTTCTCCACGACTACCATCTAATCCCGGTGGTCCCTGTAATTGAAATCATGATACCAATCATATATTGTGGTAACATTAGAAAAGGAGTTTCTAAACATACAAAAAAACATTTTGAGCTTCCAAAATTATACAGTGTTATAATATCTTGTAAATAAAACATGGAATTATTTTCTCGTAATTATGTAAATCCACAAATGCATAGTTATAGTGTAGATTGGTTTTTATTAATTAACTAATGAATGTGATAACTTTTGTAAGTTGACATTATGAGACATAACTTATGTGACATATAGTGCCGTCCTTGAAATTCTTATTTATTGACCATAAGCACCTCTGCATGCCGAAACAATTCACATTTGGATTTATCATGACTGATGAGGAGCTGTAAATATATGCACTCAAGTGGAGGAACAATAAAGTTCGTAACTTTCAAAATAGAAGAGAAATTAAGTTGGTTATATTGCCTGGATATCATACGTACTAAGATTACGTATTTTAAATTAATAAATATTAAAAGTTATCTGGTACAAGGATACTTAGAAAACGTTGTGAAATAAATCCTATTCGGGTAGGGTCATCTTTTATAACTTTATTTTGTGTACTAATTACGAATCATTAATCTTCTCACGCTTTCAGTATTTTTTTTAATAATCAATTTCAGCTTGTGTTTTTGTGTTGTATTCTGTGGAGCTTTCATTGTTTCTCTGGTCAACGTAATCCGTACCTACTAAATTATTTAACTCAGAGAACATAGCACTACGACCAAAACCATCCAGCTCAGAGAACAAAACTCCATCAACAACATAGCACCACTATAAGCGTCCACATGGACTGAAAATCTTCATCATTACATAGTTTGTTTGTGTTTATATAGAATCATTTGAAACCAGCGCGTTTTTAAAATAAGGCCTTTGGATGAAATATTCTTAAGTTAATTGTTTTTTTTCACCATATAAGTGATTTTTGGATGGAAGAAACGTTATTTATTAAGTTCTGTCTTCATGTACTAAAGAGGTAATATGCCTAAAACATTTTAAGCGGACAGGTTACGTCATTTTATATTTTAGTTCAATATGATCACAATGAAATATATTGTATAACTAGATGTAATAGGTAAAAAGTACAAATCGACATCTCACAACGTAGACAAGGTGGTGGCTTGTTATGTAGAAGCGCGTACGGAAAGACCCTTTGTGCTTGCGAATACACATATTTCTATAGTATTACACCCATTCACTACAAAATAAATCTTGTTTGATGTCTCACATGCAGAGCAAAAACGGTCTCCCCAGATGATATTAAGAGTTGAAGTTTATCAATAACATTCTGGCACCGATCAGCTATCCAAGTTTTTAAAAAGTACACGTATGAGGGTAAATATAAACTGGAAATATTCACTATCCATAAGAAACCTCTATTTTTCTCACTGAAATACAGTGAGAGTGTGTTTAGCGATGTCCTGAATGGTAGGTGAGTAAGAGGAGATAGTAGGACATTTTAAACAACCAACCCTTCGTTGTCATTTTTTAGTAGACAAAGAATAACAAAGGATAAATTACCTGAGTTGGCCTCTACAGTGTCCATCTACAAATCTAGCTACTCCTATAAAGATAGCTATATTGTGTGTAATACTAGGTAAATTAACCAGCGAATGAGTGGACGCCGCCTTTGTTTGTCGTCTCTTCGTTTATATTCGTCAATATCTAATTATTTATGCATTTCTTATTGCATAGTTTTAGTAATGCATTGTGATTATTATTTTAAAGTCTATTTATTCAAGTTTGGCCTACTTCTTTTATTGAACTATTGACTAGAACTTATGTTATTTTATTGTTCCTATCACTAATACACCTGTCTTACCATAAGTTTGCATTTTCTACCTACTGTATTTAATTATACAATTTGTTTCATTGTGACCATTGACTCATAAATAGCTTTGATTAGTTTAAAATTGTTCATATATATTCATGCATATTGGAGCATAGCCTGATTACAATCTAATTGAGAACAATATTGTTCGCATATATGTGTTGTTTCAATTTTCATAATGACAATCTTCAATATAATGATAGTTGTTTAAAATATAACAATTAAGGTATTCCCATAATCTCATTTTCAGTGATTTGAATTTGCTGAAGATTTTAACAGTTTGAGATGTTTTTAACAAAACTCTGTTTTCGTAAGAATAAGGATTATTAACTGAATCAGTCTCTCGAAATCGCAGGACTTGAAGCAGATATACCTCAGTTAAAGTTATCAGATTTTACGTTAGGACATAGAAGAAATTAACAAAACGAAGAGGAAAGTTGAATCAGCAAATACCTCTGTAACTGATTAGAGGGTTGTCATATTATCTTATCGATTTATCATCGTCTTACTAACCTTGGATTCGATTATTGGTCGAACCTATATATGTTTGATCAGAAGTAAGTAGTGTTTCACTTAGTTTTTCCTCCACCTAATACTATTTGATTCTAATATCTTATTTAATTGCTTAGGTAACCTAAATAGAGAATAATTATGTAGGTTATTTTCGGACTTGATCTTGTTAATACCCCACTGTGTTAACTGGGCATATTAGGTCTTGTTAGTTTCAAATATGGTCTTTATATTAGGTAATCAGTTTGTGAGTATACTTATAAACAAATTTCGGAATCTGATATAGATAGGCGTACCAGTTGATTATAATAAATAGTTAGAACTTAATCCATTTTATCGATGTCTGTTTACAAAAGCTTAATCACTGTAAAACAGATAATGTTATGATAATCATTACCAAATGTTTATCAACTAACCATATGGCAGTATTTAATGTCTTGTTTAAGTAATTGCTTCTGACCGAAATTTATGAAATGTAGAATCCCACTGGGCTTTTAATTTATGTAATACAACACCGTTATGGTTTCTGCTTGTTAATCAAGATGTTCAGTCAAATAAAACAAATAGGAAAAGTCAGAAGGGGTTATGTGGAGATTGTAGTAATTTCAATAGTTGAGATCATGAGTCAATTGAAGCTAGACCACCATGGAAAACCTGGAAGCACTGGACGGCCGTTCCGTCATATGGTGGGACTTCTCAGCAGTGCGCGTCCACGATCCCGTCTCAGGGGATTCGAACCCAGGACATACCAGTCTAGTTAGAAGCAGTGACCAGTGGAGATAGTAACTCACTGATGACAATGGTGGATGTGTCGCTCAATTTCGTGAAATAGGAAAAGTATCGTATTCATAAAGGCTCCTATGAAATATATCCATTTGTAGCTTAGAATTGGCTGATGAATTCATCAAGAACACAAAAAACTGATTCATATTTTGGTATTTATCTACACCATATATCTAATTTCTTTGTGAATATCTTTTTTGTTTGTTATTGAAAGAATTCTGAAGACAGTATAGATGGTTGCCTAAACTCCAAATTATGTTTCTTAGTGTTCAATTTTTTCAATTTGAAACTGTTTTAAAAATAAGTCAAACTGAAAGATGAAAAAACACATTTCCATCTTCTAGTTGATTATAATAGATATCTATTACTGTTTAGATGAACACGTAAGGTTCACAAAATTTTGTTCTAAACGTTGCTTCATTTAAACTATACTTATTAATCCATGGCGCCTATATAACAGTGTTTATAAAATGACTTACACTTGAACCTTGGCGTCCAGGCGGGCCCATCGGTCCGCGAGGTCCTTGGTATCCCGTATCACCTGGGTGCCCAACTTCTCCTTTAACGCCGGGTTCACCGGGACCTCCTTCTGGACCAGTAACACCAGTCATTCCTCTAGCTCCACGTACACCTTTTAAGGAAAGCTGCAAGAAAAGGAAGACAACAAATTAGGACATTGATAACTGTGATATATATTTATTTGTTGAAATAATCTTGTCAAATAAACTTACCAAATGTTTTTGAAGCAGGTCTCGAAATGTAGCTGCCCGTGCAAAACTACTACTGCCGACGCCTAGATTGAGAGGAATGATGAACAGGGAACCCATAGGACCAGGTGGACCGGGTTCACCAGCAGGTACGGATGATCCATTCAAACCCTTTCGGAAAAAAATACGAAAGTAAGAACTTATAACTGGTAATTTAGGCCTTAAAACTGCAATATTGTGATATATAAATATATATATGAAAAAGCGAGGAGTTTTCTAACGTCTCGCATCCAGATTTCTTCAACTATGTTTTTGAGACAATAAAACACTAGAATTTGTTCGTTTTTGTTATTTATACATTTGAGAATCATCCCACTTTATATTATTCACTAGGATTTATGTTCTCTATATCTCCTTTATGTAGATAAACGTATCCGTGACCAATGGATGGTATTAAATTATTATCTGAAGCTCTTGAAACAGTTTCACTTTTCATATAAAAACAGCTCTTTTTACTAATCTTACTAATAAGTGTTCAGTCTTCTACTTGTACTGTTCGGTCATGATCAACATACACAGATGGAAGTCAATCATTTCGAGTGTAGGAAGGTAATATTGAACGGGATTTAATGGTATTTATATTGCACGACGAATGGAATGAACTTGGAATTATGAAGCATTGGATTGCCTTTCTGGGCTGTAAACGTATCACGTATACTGCAACAGTTAAAGATTTTGATTTATATACCGTGGAACTTCTTTGATGCACATTACCGCCTAACCCGAAACTGAAACTAAAGAACCGTTAACCACTCTCTGATTTTCAATGAATTTTCAGCTATCAGACACTGATCGAAGCTATCTTAGAACAAAAACCACGAATAACCAAGAAGTCCCATTACAAAAGGATGAGAGATAAAAAGCTAAATAGTGATAGTTCGTTTTAAAGTTGTTTTTTCCGATTCTGTCCGCAAAACATTATATATTTATTCCCAATATTACTGTTGAAAGTGTCCCGTGTATTAAGTTTTTTCCCTAATTTATTACGAAGCATAAGTCATGGTAACAAAACTATATTTTAGTGGTATTTTTGTATAACATAATTATTTAACATCAAATATATTTTAAATAGAACTAGTCTTTGCTAAATGGTCAACTAGTTTTTTGAATTTGTTTAAAATGTGGTAAAATCTTGAGATTAATTTAATTTGACTGACTAATGAAACGCATACTTTTTCTTTTAACTATAAACGAAAAAAATCCGCTAAGTATATATTAATGTGACAGGAAGAATGGCCACCCCGATAGTTGCATCGTGGATTTCATTTTAGCACTGATGATTTATTCTTTATACTGTAAATAACTTAAAATCACAATAGCTAGGTTAAACATTTTGTAAATTAATGTTTTGTTCTTTTAAGATGTATTCAGTCATTTCGTCAGTCGTTCAAAATTCCGTGACTGAAATATTGTTGTTCCACTTAAATCAAGTGGCCGTTTAGTAGATTATTTATTCGATTAAAGTTATTATCATTCACCACTTACTGGTTCACCTTTGTCACCTGGTGGGCCACTATCTCCCATAGAACCTGTTGGACCCTAAAGTGTGCAAACAAAATAAAATATCGATAGATCTGAAGAGAAAAAAATAAAACCAATGGTATTAATAGAGATAAAAGTCCTTAACAAGTCCACTATTTTCACTGAGAATGAGTGGTACTTTTGATCATTAGTAACTCATTGAGTTATTGAATAAAAATAAAAATAAGTCAATAAAGAATTTTCTTTTTGATGAAACCGTTTTTTTTAAGCCGTCTACTTATAATTATAGTTGTTTGATAAATATATAAGTGGTCATCAAGACAAACAAATATATTTACCATATGAATATTGAATGACAATGAACAAATAAGCATCTCGGATTACTTTATGATGCAATCTTTCTTATCTTTTTATAGACTTATATATTTATCAAACGGCTATAAACATCAATGTACAGCTTAAGTAAATCTTTTCATCGAAAAGAAAATTTTCTTTGCTGAATTCTCTTTATTTTCACTCAGTGATACTTTTCTTCAGCATAATACTAATTTAAGCTTGGAGTAATGATTTGTTTTCACACTTAGTTTTATAGAACAAACAGATATTAACAGTTTTAACAAGATTTATGGAACTCGTCGAGTACATTAGCTTCGAACAATCAGTAGTTAGTTGGATTTACTTTAAAAAAAAACAAGTGAACATTTTAGTTTCTTTAACTAACATAACTCTTGGTTGTCACATTTATTATGCTGTGTAGAACTGGGGATGGAATCAACTAAGTAAGCTGACGTATAAATTATCTTAGAGGCTATTAACAAATAAACAACAGAACAGTTTGCTGCTTACACTAGTAAATGTAGAACGTAACACCAGATAATATACACTAACCATGGCATGTATCGGTTCTTCTCACTTTTTTGTAAATATAAAGCGAACACACATTTTTTAAACTAATAAAGTAAATATCTATTTTCAATTCAAACCTAATTTTTTTTTATACTTTTTTGAACTCTGTACATTCTTGGATCAAATAAATACGGAAATAAGTGAGGTTCTTTAATTATTAATTACTATGATAAATCAATTTTAAATGAAAACAAATAAACTTACCTGCATTGGATCAGTATCTTTATCTCCCTAGTAATTTTGAACAAAAATAAAATATACAAAACAAAGTTTGACAGTAAATAAAATAATCATTAGTAAATGTATATTTATCAATACAAAATGTTTACTGAACTAACTAATATCTAACCACTAAAATGTTGATTGATTAAAGTAAACACAATTAACTGTTCAGAAAGTGTCTAATATCATTTTTATTAAAAATAGTGATATGAACTCATTGTGTCATTTCTGAATGGTCCCTTTCTCTTCATCAAAGCTCGATATTCATTCAGGGTATTTTTCTTAAATGGAGAAACAATTATTCTGAAAACGATTTTTAACAATTACTATAATGAATCAATAGAATAATGAGTTTCATTCCCCAGATAAAATTTGTTTTGCTGAAATCACAATTCAAGATTCATATATCATTCCTTTTAAAAACTGCATAGTATACCTTTACCTACATCTTTGATTATATTCTCAATTGAATTCAAATTAAGTACTTGTTGTATTGAATAAATGATCAATTCGTTTAAATAAACTACTTATAATGATTGAATTTTGTCTAAAAGTTTTTACAGTAATCCGAGGCCAAGGCTGTTTGTTTTTTTTAAAAGAAAACATCTTAATTAGATAATTGATCTTTCATGTTATTTCTTACAGATGAAAATAAGATCAACAATTTCATTTTGTAATTATTTCCAATCAAAGAGAAGAATATGAGAGAGAAAAACATTTAATATCTTAATTAACATATATATTACATATTTAATATTATCATCAGTTAAGCATAAATGATTACGAAACTACAAGTAAATTTACGTAATCAGATTAAAGTAGTAGGTAACATATACTTTGAATTTTCTTTCTATTAAAAATTACGTTCTATAGGAAGTGTTATTAATTCGATCAATATTTATATGTAAAAGGAAGTTGTTACCAAGGTAATTCATGACAATTTTAGCTTTTAGTTAATGAAATATTTTAAATCATTTTTTGTTGATATTTTACATTAAATTATTTATAATTGGTTAAATTAGGTCTATAATCTAACTATTGGACAATTGGGAAATAATAAGTTTGTTCGAAATTTTGGACAAACTGCCATGGTCTAAAAAGCAAAAAGAAAAGAAAACTATATTATACACTCATACAATTAGTCCCCTTAGATATTGATTCGATTTGACATTTAAACATGTGTTTTTATTAATGTAATGCTATTCAATGCACATTATTGAATTGAATTATCATTATTTTTTGATTAAGTTTATCAAAAAAACATTAGGCAATCACCGCTTTTGTTCTCTTTCTCTCTCTCTCTCACTCTCATATCAACGAATCTTTTAGTCGAATTCGAATGATTTTAGACATAATATGAAAATTTGTTATAGTGAAATAAACAAAATCTCTTTGTTTATCAGAATTCTGTCAAACGAGGCAAGACTAAATAAATACAAAAATGGTTTTTTGTAATTATTGTAGTTGTTTAAAGAGGTTACCATTGTTAGTGTAATCAACTATATGAAGTGAATAATTTTTCGACATCTAAATATTTGAGTTATAAACTAGAAAGCAAAGTAACGTGACTTATGAATCTTGTTCAATCACTTAAACCGTTATTTCAACTATGAGTAGACAGATGGAATGATTTGATATAATATACCATGAATTTCTTTTCGTTACTAATTTACAGATTTTTCTTTCCTATTTGTTTAAGAGTATAACGTGAACAGTTGCAGAAGTAACACTATGATTAAGCGTGTAGAATGATTATTTCTTTAAAGTTAAGACTATTTACACCAAATCAAATACATCTAACAATGTTATTACTATAAATAATTTATTAAAGTATTTCAGTAACTAAGTAGACTTAATAAACCCAATTTTTTATTTCAATCAGAAACGTTAAATATCAAGGTGAATCATTACGAACGATAGTGAATTTATATTATCCTGCATTAGTGTTTGTTTTGGTTCTATTCAAAACATTTTTGGTTTATCACAGACTAGACTAGTTTTTAAAATCTAATTAATTAATAAATAAATAGTGGTAAATGTAATACCATAAATCTAAATTCCTATAGATATCTAAAAGTGTATAAGTTAAACTACTAAGGTAGTTTAATGTAAATGTCGATTACGTGAATGAGTAATGTCAAGAAAGTTTTCAACTATTTTCCTTTTCAAAAGATAACAAAAACAAACTTCCATAAGTTAACCAACCAAAAGTTAGATACAACTATTCTTGTTCATTATATTTAGTTCTAAATTAAAACAAAATATTTGACTATAATATTAATACAACCATAGTTATATTTGGCTTGTACAAATCATCTTGGATGAAAAAAATTTAATGTAAGTAATTAGTTTACAATGGTCAAAAATAACTTTTTTAAGTTGATTTTATCTAACAATTTAGAGTTCCAACGTTGATCTTAAATAGCATGATGCTAGAACACAGGTAGCTCTCAGTAAAAATCTATGATTCATTCTTTTCTCAAGTTTATAAGTCAATGTCAAAAAGTCTGAAATCTAAATTAACTAGAGTTTTCTAGCAGATACTTATCATTAATTTAGAAGTGCCTGAAAGTTTTGACTATTTTATGTATTTTTATTGACAAGTGAAAACAGTACGAACCACATTCAAGAAATAATACCATTCAGATTTATTGAGAAATCTTAACTATTCGATTTTACCCTAAGCATATTACTATGCTATTTGGTTTACCTACGAACTGAAATATTTCTACATCCAACATATAATGTTTCTAAACAAAGAATAAAGCATAAGACTGTCATAAAACTTTAATATATGTACTATCTTCTTAAAAGTCTGGAAATACAATTTCCTAATTTAAAACTTGTCTAAATTGATTGAATTCTTTATAGAGTAATTGAGTATACTCAGAGATTTATATAAATACGTTCATTCTGATCGAATTCACTTATTCATTACTTGTTTGATTAAATACTTTAATAAACGAATTAATGGACTATAAAATATTATTCAACCTATTTATTTACCATTTGAATGAATAAATTCAAGCTGTAATATTGAATTTATTATAAAAATATTTATATGTTCTTTCAAATATTATTTAGTCAGTATAAACACAACCAAAATTTATAAAACAAATACAAAAAACAAACAAACAACATACACTATCTTAAGTAATTTATATTAAATTATATATTTAGACTATGTACTGATTTATGGCAAATGGTGAATAATTCCCAGATTTAGGAATACCATACTGTTCTGTTTTTTTTAAACTTTTTTATTATCTATAATCCTATGAAGTATCCATATTTATGTGTTATACACACATGATGATATAAATTAACAATACTGAAGTGTACAATGATAGACTAATATTTATAATCATATTATATTGATAATAAACATAAAATCCAAAAGGAAATAAACACATGTTACTTTTTTCTTAAACTATTAAGACAACAAGTTTATTATAGACAAATTTTCTTAAAAAAATAATCAAACATAGAAGGAAAGGAAAAGTTCGCAAAAAGAATAAATAAACAAACAATTTACTTCATCCCCCATCATTTGATCATCAAAACAATTAGGTGAATAAACATCACATTGTTTAACAGCACCTTCTTCACCAGGTAGGAGATAAAAATCTTCAATAAAACCCTATAAGAAATACATTTGAAATAATTTTATATATAGGTATAATTGTAATATATAGTTGGTAAATCAATAAGTTTTATTTAAATATTACTTTCAAATGTACTAAAAATTTGTAATTCAATAATATGAAGTTTATTCAATTCTACCTAAAAATAGTTTTCATAATTAGGTTTAATCAAAGTATTTATCTGACAGTAAACTTATTGCAAACTTAACAATAGTAAGTATTTGACCTTTTCTGAAATTAAAAATCACTTGTTGCTATGAAAGTAAATATTCCGTAGTTGTATGATTCGTTCGACCATCAATAGATGAAACATTTAACTCTATTTAAGTAATTACAATCAATGGCTCCTTCTTTAGTGATCTATTTAGCTTGGTTTGTATGTATACAGTTCTTAGTCTTAAGAGAAATTTCGTGTGATCGTTGTAGTGCATAAATTTGAGCGAAGCAAAAATAAAAATTTTTGCTGTAATAAGTAGGCTAGTTTATAGGCACGAGTTAATGATAGAGATTATTGACCTCAGTAGATCACGTTTTTGAAGAAATTGAGGCTCAGACCTTTGGTTTGTATTCTCAATGTGTAATTCTGTCAACAACTTCGTTTCCAAGAGCTCTGTAGATTGACAAATCACTTAATGTCTTATTCAGAAAATCTGTTTGTAACCACTTTTGTTTATTAGTACACTGTTATAACTTTAATTTTGTACCAAACGCTTTGTGAAGTGTTGAAATTTCTATCAGTTTCTGATAAGACTGACCATGTTAGCCTTTCTGAAGAAATATTTTAAGTTGTACTCTACCTACCAGGTTAATCTCTTCAGTTAGCTTATCAAATCGACCGTAAATATCACCTTACTCGTTTTATTTGAAATATGAATACTGCTTCATAATTATTTACGACTTGTCAATATTTCTAATGTTATGAATAAAGTTAATTAGTACTTAAATCGTATTTTCATCCAAATTGTCTTGTGGAAAAAGTCACTATTTCTTTTGGGATATGATCAACAAAGTTTTCAACAAATCAAATATACGATGAAAACTCACATGAATGCCGTCTTTCAATACTTGTATTCGACCTCTGTTATCAATGCTCGTTGATGAACGATTATAATTTATGGACTCCCTTTGTTTACAATCAACTAGTAATCTTACAGTAGTAGTACCAATACTGACGGCTACACGATGCCATCTAAACAATTCATAGAAAGATAATGTATTGAACAGGATACACAGAAAATAAAAGCCTAGTAAATCATTTGTACTATATACTCTTGAACCCATCACTTGGTTTATTTTGAACAACTTGTTAAAATGCATTATGATATGATAACTTTATTTTGAGACAAAGCACTTTTAAACGTTACTGGATTTGAACCAAGATTCTCAAATGCTTCAAGCACGAAGAGTTTTGACTAATGACTACTATTGATAATAAGTTAATGGATTGCTTTTCGGCTGTACATGAACCGGAAGTTATAGGGTTTTAACAAATATTTGTGTTTATTTTAACAGAACATATACATGTTATTGAGTTAAAGTCATATAGGGAGATGTGATTTAGCGACGGCTTTGAAATGCTTGCTTCATAGCAAAATTGTAAGGATGGCAGGATTTTCTTGGTACTTAAAATAATACCTCTAATTTTTTATGGTTGTGCCTGATCCTATTTTTAGTATTTTCATTTCGTGAAAAATACATGAAGTGACTGAGGAATTACAAAAACGTTTTATTTGTTTAATCTTCTGAATTATGAGTAACTAATATTCTGAACTTGATGTGTGTTTCGAACTTTAATGTTATAGTGTATATTCATATGAGATGCTTCCCAAAACAAAACTGGAAAGAATACTTAGCTTAGATATGAATAAAGTAATTCATGTTTTATGATATTCAAAGTTCACTCACTACACTGCAGAAGCGTACAGTCTAGGTTCATACAACCATAAATGAACAGGTTTTATTTCTGTTTAGTTATTTTTAAACTAGGGACGTAAATTATTCGAAAGAGTATGTACAGTCTACCCAACTAATTTCAAATAGGGAGAAACACGCGTCTTAGCTTCCCCTTTTAATCACTTTTCAGATATTCTAGCGATAAAAACGTCTGGCTTTATCGGTAGATATTAGAGAAAACAACCCAATAGCAAGAAACAAATAACAGAGAACTCTTTAAAACAGAAATGGAATGAAACCACCAGTTCCAAATGAAAGATTACTAAAGTAACAATTATTAACTTACAGGCCATCATTTAAATGAGTTTTAAAAATAGCTTTCTCTAATGTTTTTCCTGAATGTGCTTTTAAACCTCGAGGATGCACATCAGAAAGCTGACTAGATTGTGATTCTTTTGACAAATATTCTAATTGCAAATGTGAGCCAATTATTATGCGTAAAATCATTCGTCCATGTCGATCATAAAGAGTGAAAAACTCTTTTTCCAAATTTGATTCCAATCGAATAGTAAATAAAATAGACAGATCTGGAGGAAATGAATCTGTACGTAAAAAGGATATTTTGTTAGTACAACTACCACACAAAAGACATAATTAAGTAAACAATGATTCTGCTCACTTGACTATGAGGTTATCAAGTAAGCTGACATGAATAGAGCAGGCGTGTAATTAAATGACTAAATTTCCTGAAAGCCCCACATAAATTAAAACATGTTTACCTTAGAAGGTAATACACGTGAACTTAAAAGATTGCCAAAAACTAATTTGTGGACTATAGTTATTACTGAACACGAACAGCTAAACATCATTTACTATGTTACGCAATAATTAAATATTAAAATACAATTGTTTTCTGTGTGGATTTGTCGGAATACAATAAATCAGAAAAGATCATAAAACACTTTACCGACATTCATAATATAAATAATACGAGGAATAAGGTGAAACAATAAGTTCAGATAAATTAACTCCTAGTTAAATAATAAATTGTGGCGAGACTATAATTTATGGACAAACCCATCACGTATAAGATAACAAGTCTGGGACTTTCGTACGAAGTTCACTCATTCATTCGGATAAATAAAGTTTTGGAATTATAGCTGATGTCAGTTCGTGATGAAAACCCTAAATCTAATTTATAAAGTTAATCATCAATTGTAAATCGTACTTTTAAATCCTCACACAAGTTTATAACCTTCATTTGGTCCTGGTTATTAGGTGGACACTCTCAAGGTCAGTCTGGTGTCACTCAAAGGTCGTCCATAAATTATAGTCTCATCATATAAGTTCAATAAAATATTTTTTAAAACTATTTATAGAAGTATTTAAGATAATTGTGGCTACTGAATAAAACATTCTATTAGGATTGGATATCTTACAAAAGCAAAAATGAGAAAGTAATGGTTTTTATTTTATTCTACCACTTTTCAAACACAACAATAGGAATATCTATAAATAGTCCTGTTGATAATTGACAACCGATAACGAAGTGTATTAACAAACTTTACAACATTTCAATTTTTTTACAGGAGTGAAAAAAATCAACGTTTTCAGTTTCAGAAAGGGATACTTTTTAGTAATCAATAAACAAATAAAATTACTAAACTTACCAGGGATTAAAGATCGACCTTCTATGTAAAGACTTAACCCACGAGGAACAGAATAAGCTACATTTCTTTCTGCAATATTTGATGATGTTGCCAAATCATTCGAATCTTGACGACATCGACCAGGTGAAGTTTGTACATATGTTTGCTCACTGATTCTTACTGCCGTTAATACGTCTAATGTACCTTTAAAAAAATACACGTAGAAAACGAATATAATGATTGAGAAAAATTCTCGTATATTTCAGTTTGATTCGCCTTATGAACTAATGTTAGTAATGAAATTATCAGAAACTTGAAAATGATAATTCTGCAATTTTGTTTGTTAAAGTAATGTAGTCCATGCAAAAATGATATATTAAAGAATCCGATGTAAGATTATTTAATTGATCGATCTATTTATTCTCAAAGAAGTAACACCATTCGATTATCCATTCAACCATCACAGAAACGCTAGCTAATATACAAATTCGGTAATGACCGTTGAAACCATAGGTAGTTACTCAATTCACTGATATTTTTCTATGAAACTAAATTTCTTATGCCAAAATAGTTTGAAAGCTTAAACTACCCCTCATCTTATAACTTTTGCAATCGATCTAAGAAATCATAAGTAACACTAGGTGTCAAATAAAATTTGTCTTACTATTGTATTAAAAACAGAACCTAGGCAAAACAAATGACCGTTACTCGACATTCCAAACTGAATGTGATTGAGAATGTTGAGCATTGGATTACAATTTATTGGTATTAATGTATTAAGGTCAAGGCAATAATGTTTAGTAAATCGATTTCTTGTGAAGCCGTAAATATCTACCCCTGAGAGTTCCTAAATTAGGATTGAGCAGATGGTCATTTACCTTTTTTCATAGTGATGCTCAAGCCAATAGCAGTTAGTGGTGGGAGCTAACTTTGAACTGGAATCACACAAATTAGAGAAGTGTAATGACTGAGTTATTTTTGAAAAACGTCAAAATAACCGAGATTTAAAGGTTTATGTGCTACCGAATACTAGTGAAAGATATGCAGAGTTTCATGGCTATTTCATCTTATTATTCAGTAGCCGTGATATAACTATACTATAAAGTTACAAAATAAAATAATAAAGCTGGGTATTGGTGCTATTTTTACAAACTTAATAAATTTTAAATGCTGGGATAAAATCAACTTTCTAAAGCTAGGTATGTGGCAGATAAGTGCTTCTAGATCATTAAGGACAATCTATAAAACTGATCACTTGGGTCTAATGTAAAAAGTTAACTTTCATGGTATAATAAGATAAACAATAGGAATCAATTGTGTAATTGAACCAAATATGTACATTTAACTCAACCTATAAATAAAAATATTTGAATGCAGTCTGAGACTAAATAAGATGCTTCCATATATTTATTCATATGTAAATTCGTTTTGTATACTTGCAAATAAACGATATAACTATTCATCAAATATTATATCACATTAGGTCTTACTTGCCGGAAGTGTTTATGTCATTATAACCTCGATGTTTAAAGGTACTTCCAATATCATTTAGTGAACTGTTGGAAACGAAATGAAACTAGGTGCTTCATTAATGTAGGTTAACAAATTCATAGTAGTATGTATTTTTAATCAACTGTAGAGTGAGCGCTGAAAAACTTAGAGTTTTTTGAATGTAAATGATCGTTTTTTTGACCGCAGTTATAGTTTGATATGTAGTGACATATATTAAGTATTATTGATAGATTTACTATTCATTTGATTAATTATCTATTGGTCTCTCACTGGAACTTTCTTTAATGCATTTTCTTTTAGTCACTAAAGATGATTCAAATTTCAACTTAAAAGTATTAACTGACGGAAGTTTTATTCCAAAAATCAAGATGATGACATTAACTTAGAAAAAGATGCACTATATACATATTGGTGAGGAGCATTAAACATTACATAATAGCTATCTAATATCTACCAGTTACCTAACTGAAGAAATTTCAGGCCTAACAACTGGTACTATTCTAATTAATGGACCTATTTATCTGGCGAATAAGTTTTACCATTTAGTTTTGTGAAGGTAGTGGTTCCAGAGAGATTCATTTTAAAGCTGAAACATATATTTATACACGTCCAACCTATCACTGAGATTCAAGAACAATGAAGCAGGTGGGCAGAACACTTTGAAAAACTCTTGAATAGATAAGCGCCGCTCAATCCACCAGACATCAAAGCAGCACCTACAGACCTTCCTATAGATGTCACTCCACCAACAATTGAAGAAATCATAATGGCTATCAAACAAATCAACAGTGGGAAGGCCGCAGGACTTGACAACATACCAACTGAAGTACTAAAGTCACATGTAAAAGTAACTGCAAAGATAATTCACGTTCTATTCAAGAAGATTTGGAAGGAGGAACGAATACCGAAAGACTGGGAAGAAGGATGTCACATCAAAATACTAAAGAAAGGAATTCTGAGCAAACGTGCTAACTAACTACAAAGGCATCATACTACTGTCAGTACCAGGAAAAGTTGTCAACAGAGTGTTGTTGTACAGGATGTAAGACCCAGTAATTGAGATCAACAGGCTGGATTCTACAAGGATTTATAGTGTATCGACCAAGTAATTAATACACAGATCATTGTTGAACAAGCAATTGAATGGAATTCATCACTACACATCAACTTCTATGACTACGGGTAAGCATTTGACAACGTGAATAAGAGAATTGTATGAACCTGCTTCGACATAGTGGTGTACTTGGTAAAATCGTCAACACCATACGACGAACTATATTTTAGTGGTGCATGAAGAACAGGTAACAAACGCATTTCAAATGACGACCGCAGACAGACAACGCTGCTTACTCTCCTCTTTCTATATCTTCTGGTGATTGGTCAGATTATGAAGACCTTTACATCAAACGGGAAGCATGGAATACAATGGACAGATTGTATGCAACTGGATGATTTGGACTGCTCAGATGACCTAACCCTTGCATCCCATACACATCAACATATGCAGGTCAAGACAACTAATGTAGCAGAAGGCTCTGCATCAGTAGGCTCCAACATACACAAGGGAAAAGGTACCATCTTGAAATACGACACAGAGAACACCAACCTAATCACACTTTATGGAAAAGCTCTGGAAGATGTGGAGAGTTTTACGTACTTGGGCTACATCATCAATGAACAATGAGGATCTGATGCACATGTGAACGCACGGACAGGCAAACCGAGAACAGCATTCCTACAATTGAAGTACATGTGGTACTCATATATCTAAAGCTTTAGTCTTTCACGATTTAATTATCCAGTCTAAAACATTTTGTATATTTGTTAGAATATTAATATGGTTTACGATTTTATAGTTTAGATCATCTACTAGTTAGAAAAAGATTCCTTTAATGAACTAATTGTTTAGTGATTTGAAGAATATATTCAAAATGAAGTGCAGTTTTTACTAAAAAAAAACAGTTTCCACAGAAACGTTATGTGACATTTATTTTATTTACAGTTATCTTTCAAGACAAATTTTTAAATAAGTGTACAAGTAAAAAACATGACATTTAAATCAATTCCAATAACCATGTTTTTGTTAGTTTGTAGGCTAGAGGAATTTTATATTATTAAATGTTACATTCTTATTTTAATGTAAATATACTGAATTTTAGTAGATTTGAAATCATTACATTCTTTACGCAAACGTTTAGTCTATTCTATTTATCATAATATATCATTCTTAGGGAATAACTCTATGACAAAGAAACAGTCGTAGAGAATGTATGAAAGAACTTCTGTCCAATTTTTCTTTACGATTATTAGACTTTGGCGTCAATGGTTACATTGCAGCTTCCTACATAAAAATGGTAGACTTAAGTTAAAATATATAAATACTTTCGTCTAAGTTTAAACGAGTAGTTTCACATTAGTTGAGGCCTGATTTTATGTAAGACATTAAGGAAGAAAATTATATCTATACAAATCCAAGTGATTCCATATTAAGTAAATCCAATGTTTCACTGGTTCAAGCGTTTTCAAGGAAATAAAATCAAACACTAAAATATCGAATATAAATGCTCGGTTAACTGTTTACTAAATAAGAAAAATTAGTTCAGTGAAGAATTCTCTATTCGGCAAATTCATTTTCAAAGACATATCTAACAGAAATTTTATTATCATCCTGTAATATATATATGGGATTGTACAGCTTTAAAAAATGAATTCGCCGAAAAGAGAACTCTTCGGTGAACTAATCTTATTTAATGTCTTAATGGGTGAATTCCGATAACTGTTTACTAAATAAGTCGTCCAATCATGTTAACAATGAACATGAGATTTATTGTAATGCGTATGAGACATTTAGTGTAAAAAAAAAACACATATGCTAATAACAGACTGATCAATTGAAGTCTTAAACCTCAATGGGAAGATACAAGCCAAACAATACCAAGTGAATTTGGTGTAAAAAGTGGAGAAAATTGTGTTGTGTGTATGTGTACATAGATCAGATGGGAGAAAAATTCACTGACCAGATATTGTCTCTGGTTAGGAATTTGATGAAAATAGATGGTTCGCTAGGTGATGTGAATCAAACATGTCACAGCATGCATACAATGAGGGAAAATAAACAAACAAATATTTGTATTATTGTGTTGACTAAGCTTATTGTTTATTATATATTCAGATAAACTGACTGATTAGAACAAATGAAAGTAATCTTTGTTGCCCACATAATAAGAGATGGAATAGATGAAGTAAAATGTGAAATAAAGTTCAGGTTTACTTATTATTAGTCACCATAGGACAGCTAATTATATTCCATCTCTCCTTTTAAGTGTTTGAATTCGCCGATGTGTGTAGAGTTTTAACTGTTAATTTCTCTTTGTATGGAATATAACATATTGGGATAATTCTTATGCCACTGAAATCAGTTGAATGACCAGAACCTGTGGAATGGAATGCTATAGCTGACTTGTTTTATTAATAAGAAAGATTGGTTCAGCGAAGAGCTTTCTTTTCAACGAATTCATTTTCAAAGCTGTACAATCGCGAATATATATACTAATTTTTTCAGGATGATAGTATTACATTCAGTACACTTGATCTCATTATGACAACTTCGTTGTCCTTCTTTTGGTATTGAGTCTTGGACTCTTGATAATTTAGAATTTAGAGTATTGTTCATTCAGCATAATACCTTTATA